CCGACGCAACGTCAGCTGCTACGTAGTCCTATCTATAATGTTTGAATCATAATCATAAAAATAAAATAAAGTTTACTTGAATTTAATTTCATGAACTATATTGAAAATTATTAATAACTGTGTTTAAACATCAGTGTGGGTTTCATTCGTTAGTTGTTATACATCATTAAAATTCGACAGATTGCAATGACTCATACATTCTTTTTTATTTCGAAATTTAATTAACTGCCGCATTGTAATTAACGCACAGATACAGTTAATAGCGTTAAATTATGTTTCGTGTTATAAAACGACTGACGTGGATCACGCTCGTCAGCCATTAATCCAAGTTGAGATTGGTTTACACAATGTTCATAGTAATTGTTAATTGGGGAGACGTGTCTATTATTTATAGACGTAGACGTAATCAGGAAGAAGTACGGAGGTTTCTTTTGACATAAATAACTACTCGTAATAGTATGTAGGTAACTAATAAGGTGTCAACTATGGCAAACGAATCCATAGTCCACTGTTTTTTTTTTTGTTCGAGGCACGAATTCCACTTTGATAATAACTATTGCGATAGTAAGAGAAGAGACGAAATGAAAATGAGGTTGTTAAGAGAGTGTTAACTATGAATGTGGAAGGATTTAGAGGAAGAGGTAGACCTAAGAAGAAATGGAAGAAATGATATGATAGAAGAGTATGGAAGGAGAAAACATGTTGCGCCGACCCCAGGTGACTAGGCGAAGGGCAGGATAATGATGATATTGCGATAGTAAGAGAATCATGGAATTCATCACTTCAAACAATTACTTACTTGACTTGCCATTTGAATGGACTACAACACAATAGATTCACTCTGACTTAGAAGGGTTCTTCGTAATAGGTCCGATGTAATGAGTTATGGCTTCCAATTTATTGACTACGATTCAGCTTGCCGCGATGAATGGTCGTGATAAATATTCAAACTACGATCAAAATAATTAATGTGTGGTCCGTAAATCAAAAGTTGAGAAAAAATTTCGTTTTCGTCTTGAATTTTTAATCTATGCTACATTAAAGCCATTACTTTTTTTCTAGAAATAAATGTTTGTTGACCGATCCAAAATCCTTCAAGAAGTTCACATATTAGACAAATTTCATTTCATTATTATAAATTGAACTTCCAATATCCAAGATAACAGATTAACAGATGCTGCAGTGCTGGACGACTGCACAGCTGGAAAATCACTGAAGTGCACTGGTAAAGACTCAGATTATTGTATCAAGTTTTGTTTATCTCATGTACAAGTGTATATATAGACCGGAATAGTAATAATTTTGTAGACTATCATATTAATTCATTTGAAGCTATGGTGCCGGTAGCAGCAGTTACATGACGCGACTGTATCCTTAACAATTTCAGAAGAGCCTGCCTTTTTCTTTTCTTACCTATGCTGATAGTCTTGAGAGGCTATATCAGCTTCGCCCTAATGTGTAGGTGAGCTCACGGGGCTCAAACCGGAGTGTTGCTAACACTGGCCCTAACAAGAGCAGTGCTTCGCAGAATATACCACCGGATCGGAAACGCGACCCACTGAGAAGATCCGGCGAGAAACTCAGTGGGCTGTGTCTATGAGTTAATTTACTCGTCGAGCCCTACGCCGCAAGCGACGGGTTCGACGAGGACAGTGACCGGAAGCCTGCCTGCTTGCTATGTCACCCTTTATGGCCAATTGTGTAAAGGAGCCATGTGATCGTGAAGTGAATTCGTCTATTCTAACAATGTTGGGATGTAATTACACGCTTGTTTAAAGGTAATATAATGTAAATTTGCGTTCACTTACAAGCAGACTTCAATTAAATTTTCCAACTATAAAGATGGTGTCAGCTTCGTTCGTTGAATAATGTACCTATGATATATTTTATTTTTTACTTTGGGTTTACTAAGTTTTTTTAATACCATTCTTAGTATCAAACTTTTAATGAGATGTGAACTCTCGGCGGTGTACACGTTATTCATAAAACAAATCTTTTAAATGATATTACTAGTTTTTATACGCGGTTTCCGTCGCGTTAATCTAGAAAATAAAATCTGCTTCACGGGGATTTCAACTTTTCATTCAGATCCCTATGCTATGTCTTTGTCTGTACCCTTGTCTACGTGGATACAAAATTTCCTTACGATCAATTGAGTAGCTAGAAAGCTTGTCAAATTATAACATAGAAAAAAAAAACAATTCACATTCCCAATTATTACATTAGTATGAATGTACATAGAGAAATGGTTTCCTCATCTCCAGTGCATTGGAAACTATCCTTAATCAAAGAGAACGATATAACATATAATCTGTGACTACAGTACATAATACGAATAAAATTGAATTCAATTTTAATCCCCGTAACCTACATAATTGAGTTTTCGAAAAAAATAATGACAACGAGAACGCGCAACTGGGTCAGTATTCAGTGTTCAGCATCAGGACGAACTGTGACAAATTAATTATCACTAAGCTGTACCGTGGAAACGTTACGGTATTTTAGATATTATTATTGCTTAACGGATTTCTTATTACATTGTTAATAACAAAACAGTGAACTGATTTTGTATTTATGATTTTGTCTAAAACTGGCTGACAATATAAAATATATAAAGTAGTGTAAATTATTTCTAGTTGAATTATCAATTAAATATTAGAAAAGCAAAAATAGAGAAAGAAGTTTTTGATTATTTCTATTTGATATTCGTCGTTGGCAATATACGGTAATAAGAATATTATCTTATCTGTGAGTTGGGACAATACGTAGTGACCTTCACGTTACACCGAATACCCGAGACGATTTTTATTCTAACGGCTTGTTTAATTTAAAACAAAGGAGCGGTTTATGAAAAGAACAAAGCAGTGTGTTTCCTACGAAACCGTTAAAACTCTGAATGATAATAATTAGTGATTCATCGAATAATATTTTAATATAATATTATAAAGAGGAAAGATTTGTTTGTTTGTTTGTTTCGAATAGGCTCCGAAACTACTGGATCGATTTGAAAAATTATTTTTCCATTAGAAGCCGACATTGTCCCTGATGAACATAGGCTACTTTTTTTAAATTTTTTTTTATTTTATTTTTTTGGTTTCATGTGTGTTTTAATGTTTCCGAAGCGAAGCGAGGGCGGGTCGCTAGTATTTTAATAAAACTAGAAATACGAACACTGATAAACAAAGCCTTCAATACGCGTTTTAGGGGTGACATTCGAACAATAAAAAATGTGTAAGATTACGTTTTAGTGAGTACAAGTACATAATACACCGGATAGCAACGCCAAATGGTTGATGTGAGAATGATTCTCATAAATTGTATCTACATACTTCAATAAATATGTTGGGAATCATGAATCATAACTTAAATAAACCACAAAAACTGGCAAACGCGTTCCGATCAAAGCTTGCTTCATGTTATGAAAGTATTCAGCTATTACGTATAAATACTTGGTAGTTTGTTAGTATTCGTTCGTTTCGTCTAATAATAAAATTATTTTATGAACATCTCCAAATTCGAACAGGGCGTACTAAGTTTTATCTATATCATGAGTATTGTTTTTTCGTTTTGCGTAAAGGCAAATAGATTTTTCCTCATTAAACTATAATTTAAGGTAGAGTGTATTACAGATTGACTGCGGAATTTGAATGACCGACTGAAATTTTCCAGAATTGAAAATTACTTTACTTTAGAATCCATTTTTTGCAATCATACTGTGATACTTCATCTTTTTTCCGTCTACCTACTCTCTGGTTGTCCAAAGGGCTATTCCAGCTACGTTGTGAGTCTTTGTTTTTTTTATGATTCGAGGATTACTGGTGGCCCTTGCCTTTCACCAGGACAAGAGGTTGTGAGTCTTCGTCCTATCTGGCTTAAGGGTAACGCAGAGGGATTTTTTATAGAAATCAGGACATGTCTAAATTTTCAATTTATTGTGTAAGTATTAGTAGTTCACGCATAATTCAATTGAATAACTACCGAATGTGTATCGCTTGTGTGACTACGAAATATTTATGAAATATTGTTTTTCGCACGTAATGTGTTATTTAAATAAAATCTAAAGGTATTTTCACTAAAGTTCATTGCAATTTTATAGACTTAGAATGTCGTGTGTAGTGTCGTGTATATGTTTCTCTTTTAGTAGGTACGGAAAATTTAGTACTGGGAAAAGTAGTAGCAATGCAAGTAGAACCGGGACTTGATTGGGACTGCTGTTAGCTGTTACGAAGGGCGTTTGGCCATTGCCCCCACATTGCAGACTTTTGTGATCGCTCGCCCCGTTTTAGAAGTTGTATAGTTAATTCTCTAACAAATATGTGCGTGTATATATACTTTAACTAAGATAGAAATATGTACAATCTATGATACAAATATGTATCTTAGTTAAATTAAGGAGGATCCAAAAAATTGGCTTGAATAATTAATGTAGGTTATAGTTATTATTTTCAGGATTGCGACACGTGTAAAATAACTAAACAAAACGAATGACCGACTAGCGGATGACTGGTATGTTTGATTCACTACGACACACGAATGCTGGCTTATTTAGGATCCCACTTACTCATCAGTCCATTGAATTCCGCTCTTTGTGTGTATGTATAGATAATTTGATATTGTTTTTGTATGGACTTTCAATCCCAGCGTCAAAAAAACTTGTTTTTTCAACAAACCACCCGTATCCCCGTGTAGGATTTTCGAAGAATGGGATATAGATATTATTTACTAATCACAAATGTATCGACACATAGCAGCTGTCGGTCTCGCTACACGGAACAGGCCAAGGGGCTGTCTACAATAAGGATCCAGGTAGCTGCCTTCGCGTTTTTACTTGAGATGTTTCGTCTTTGTTTGACCTTAATAATTCAAAGAATAGTATTTTGTTGGTTGCTGCGTCTACCTCTATTTTAATATCACAAGAAATGTAGGTAGTGAACGTTTAAAAATATAATTAAGATTTTGAAGATTGGAGAAAAAGGTTAGTATTTTTAAATAAAACATACCTATGTGCGCTAGGTCTATGATGGGAATCTCGCAGCGGGAGAGCAGAGTTTCCTCCTGCTTGGCCGCCATTGTAGTCACCGGCTGAATTAGCTCTGACAGCTGGTTGTACCGCACTCCTCAAACACCACTCCGACTTGTTATCACTCGTTTTCCACAGTAATTAGCAATTAGCGATCGTGGCTCCGAAAGATAAAAAAAAGGTTGGAAAACAGTTGGAAACAGATAAGCACTAAAAAAACTGAACGGAACACGAAAACATTAAAGTTTATTAAAGTTGTGAATGGTCTTTTGATTACCCCTGGTATAGAATCGTTCAGAACTCATTTGCATAACCTTGTAGTTCCTGCTCGAGGCGCTCTCCGATCTGACGTAGCAGCAATAAGCTATACTGACTTGACACATTAAAAATTGGTTTTCTTAGGACTTGCAGCAAGTAACCGTGGGTAAATGTTATTCCCGCGTGTACGAACCGACGGCGTCGCGCGCCCCCCGTACCTCACAGCTGGCGCGTTTCGAATGTCTCTCGTGAATAAACTGGCTCACCGTGCACGATGAGCGTTACCCTGACGTTCGATGTCAGCTCTCACTTGTATATCATCGCGAGACTTTCGCAACCGAATGCCGTGTCGAAACAGCTCTCTGCCTTGAACACGTTGTCGTGAGGTGAAAGCGTACTGAGTAACAAGCGCGCGGACCGATCGGCGTTCAGAGGGAAACTGGCGGGGCGTTCGCGGTCGGTGCCAGCTTAGCTTAGGTTCTACCTACTGATTGGAGTGACTCAGGCCGACCCTCGCCCGTTGCTCACTTCGTGAAACATAAAACAGCATTTCAAATTCACGTTATGGACAAGTCATTGTATTGTCCAAGTCGTTGTGGTCCTGAATCTAATCATTGCAATATTATTTTACAGAATTCCGCTTGATTAAAATACTTATTAAGTCTCGACATTAGTAAATACTTGAACCACGATGAAGAAAACAAAAATCATTAAAAGAAAATCTTCTTAAAATGAGAGACAACAAAACATGAACTAAGCAACGTTAGGTATAAGTATAGTAGGTAATTAGGTATTTATTCAGTATATTAAATAAAGTTATGAATATAAGTGATGCTTTTTCTGATATTATTAAAAGACTACTTAGTTTTAGTAGTATAGTTTTTAAATATTGAAATATTTTTCGTCGAAGGGCTAGGCGAGAAAATTAATCCTCAGACACAACCCACTGAGTTTCTCGCCGGATCTTCTCAGTGAAGCGCGTTTCCGATCCGGTATTAGATTCTGCGGAACACTGCTCTTGCTAGGCCTTTCCAGTTTCACCAGGACAGGTGGGCGAGGAAGGACTCAGCCAGACCTCCCGAGGTTACCAGCATAGATAGAAAATATAAAATTGAAATAGAAAACAATAAGAAATAATAATAAAAAACACCGCCCGTTTATCATGAACGACGATCCTTGAATTCATTTTACTTAATGTTAATCACCTTTAATATAAATCAAAAAACCGTTTCAAATCTCAAGAACATACATTAATTTTGTTTATCTACATATATTACAGCATCCTAACAAAAACATTAGAATGTGCAGCGCCATATGTGCTTTATTATTACTATTTTTGAATTAGGGAGCGCCGAATTTACATAAAAAGTTTTTATTTGTTATTGCTTGGTTTAATTATGATATTTTAACATTTTTTACTACATGGATTTTTTCACACTTCTTTACTTTGTCATAATTCAATAGGAGATAAGCGTATTAAAATTTAAATTACGAATTGGATATTCAAAAATGGTTTTAAAGTTTTTTCCTACCCGCTGCTATCAGACGGTAATTCCATTTAAAAAAAAAGGAATAAATATTTCAGTGCAAAATTTTAAGCTTTTGTTTGATTTTACGAACGCTATTTGTAGACTTAAAAATTCGGGTAGGTAGCCGCATTCTCAAATGTATTTTTACTAGCATAGATGCCAGATCAGACGTCATCGGTGCCACCTACTAGGATTGGTTTTAAAACATTCGTTTGTGTCACTAAATCAATTCAATCATATCAATTAAATCCTTCCTTCTCTTTTTATCGAATTCTTCACTATTTAGTAAGTATTTAGTGGTTTGTTAGATACTTACAGCATACTACATGCATTTACTCATGTATTGTGTATGCTATCTCATCCACCAACTAGCAGAGTAATAGTTTGGTATATAACTAGAAAAGTACATTTATAGTTACTAGTTACCCATCCGATAAGGATTAGTCAACATCACAAATATACTTAGGTATTCAAATGAAAGAATTGTTGAATGCAGTTCTTTATTTACAATGACCTAAGCGCCACTAGCGACATTTTTTTAAGTTTAACTATGAAGACATAACTGTGTTTGAATTTGATATCAACTCGAAAAATATAGGATCGATCGATACGACTCGTATATTTTGTTATGAAATTATTATAAGAGAAATTCAAGTGAATTAAACGATTTCTCAATATAATAATTGTACTTTAGATATCTTGTTGGGCATGGCATTAGAGATGGCTTTTTTTAAAAACAATATTAAATAAATAAAAACGAAACAATAGAAAAACATTAAAATGAGATTTTATTATTATTTATATGGTTGTTAGCATTTTTTACACGTGTGCAGGTTTTCATTTGAGGCATCGTTCGAAATAAGATGTGCCGACGTAGCCGCCTCGCATAGCTCTCTGAACGTGTTGTTCGAAAAGTCGCCTGTTGCTTTGGAGCTCGTCCGCTGCTTCCTTGTTGAGGGGATCTTCAGGGTTTGGTTCCTAAAAAAAAAAAAAAACAATTCCAATACATGTTTTTTACTGGTGGTAGGACCTCTTGTGAGTCTGCGCGGGGGTGGGTACCACCGCCCTGCCTATTTCGGCCGTGAAGCAGTAATGCGTTTCGGTTTGAAGGGTGGGGCAGCCGTTGAACTATTACTTGAGACCTTAGAACGTATATCTCGAGGTGGGTGGCGCGAGTATAGATAAGCTTTGCTGACAGTTCGTGCGAAGATAAAATGAAAATGATGAAATTTTCTCAATTCGTCAAAGAACTCTCTCCACAGAGAGTTATAGGATACAATTATACAAGACTATACAAGTACACGTAAACTGGATAAAAATAAAATACAATACCGTGAATGAAAGAGAGAGTATGCGTTATTGTACACCAAAATAGATAAAAATGCAATACGTGTGATGACGGACGAATAGCGACTTTCCCATCTAATCTCATTATATTTATCTTTACGAGTACTGCTAATATACGAATATTTTTATAGTTATGATTTTTATCGGCAGCCCTAAGTTTGATAAAAGAGCATTTTGTACAGTAAATTTCTTCAGATTCCGAAACATTCTTGAGATTAATACATTTTTCTAAATTTAATATTACTTCAAACATAAACTTTTTCATCAAACCATAACCAGCAGTTATTTCGTTGGTTTTCGTGAGTCCTACACATAATTAAAAATACTTTAAAGACTCACAGTTGTCGGTGAATACGAAAATTGAAGTATTTGAAAGGTTGAAATAAAAAAAAAAACGAAAATAATCATAATTACACCAAAACTTGTCAATTTCTGGAAAAGAAAAACCAAAAAAAGAAAACTGTTTGATGAGAAGTTCTTAATTGCTATGTCTTTATATCAATTTAGTGGGCTTACCAAGAATAAATACTGGAGACCGTACACTATGGAGTTAACTGTGAGAACAGGTTTCCAATCTTCCCTGAGTATATTCAGGCACACGTTGCCTTCGAGGTCTATGTTAGGATGATAAACTGCTGTTTCACATTTGACTTTGGGCGGCTCGTGAGGATAATTTGGTCCTACCTGAAAATTGGTTAAAAATATTTGTTAGAAAGATACAAGTTACTTACTATCTACTAAAGTGTTTTAGCATTTCTAGAATACTTCAGCTTACGGCCGATATGGTATTATCTACGTAATATTTATCGGAGATAACATAGCGTAAATGCTGCTAGTCACTTGAGACGAGCCGCTGACTTAACTCTCCTCTCACGGTCGTCCAACCCTTCGAACCGAAACGCATGACAGCTTCACGGCATAAATGGACAGGATAGTGGTACCTACCCATGTGTAACATAACATAAGTTTGTAATCTATAAAGATTAGGCTTAAAGAAGGAGAATATAGAGGGAGGGATCACCTTGAAGTCCTCGACAAACCTCAAGGTTCGCCTGGGGTCCGTTTTTAGTTTATTATATCATAGCCTGTGGTCTGAGATTGTATTAATAACTATACTCAAACTGTCTCCTATTTAGAACCGCACGGACCGATCACTGAGTTTGATCAAGTACAAGATGTTAAAAAAATCCAAAATTAGGAGTTATTGCAAAGTTACAATCAAGACCCCAACTATCTCGCTTCTGAACTCAATAATCGAAATGTTTTTATTATTTTGTCTGCAATTTTTTCAAGACACAACAAAGAAGTTCAGCCAACTTCAAAGTCAAAGCTTTTTTTCAGCAGCTTCTCAGCAAAAAGACTGTGGACTTTGTATAATATTAAATATTTATTACTATAAACGTACATATTCAATTGAGGGACAGTTAATTTAACCAATAGTAAAAGAAGTATTAGCTACTGAGCTCCAGCTGGTTAGTATTATTTGAAAACATCCTTTGATAAATTGTTCTGAGTAAAAATGAATTGACTGAAGAATCATTACCTAAGTTCTGCCTCATTGGTCAGGTTGCTAGCGACTACTATCCCCTAGAGTCGATAAAATATATTTGGTTTTCAGGATCTGGGTGTTATTGTCTTCAAGATGTTATAGGCGAAATAACACAGGAGAAAGTTTTTGCTATAGACTGATCAATGTCATAAAAGAATTGTACAAACATGTGAAACCTTTTAATTTTTTTTGTTATGTTGTATTGTTATTATGTTTTATTACTACACTTTATCAATTAATGAAACTTTGTCCTCTTTTGTCTGCACACTTCTATGATGACTTGTGACGTTCACATTGTAGGGTGTGGGGCTCAGTTAAATACTTAATATGCGCAACTGGTTAATCATATGATCCTATGAAATAAAAATAAAAACAGCTGTGGCAGTTATCATCATCAGCGATGATCATCAGTATTACTTCAAAATTTTCTGTTTTTTTAGATGCTCTTAAAGATTCACACCTCATCTACCTATATTAATAGGAACAAGGTAGAATGTGGTGTACCAACATTAGTGCATGAGTGTGTGAGAGAGAGAGAAAGAGAGAGAGATCAATAACCACAAAAAAAATCATAGTCTATCGCAGTCTACCCCATGTATGACCATCAGGCTTCACTCTAATGTTAAATTTGTGGATGGTAATCACAGACACAGGCAGATTCCGATGGGATCTCCACTATAAGCATCCCTACTGACCAGTCAACAGCGGTGAGGCCATCCAGCCATCCAACACAGACCCATCATGTCGACGAGGACTTCGGCATCAGATGTTCAATGCTTAAAACCAGAATATAGTAAAAGTATTATAGAAGAGATATAGACATGATCACAGGGCTTACCCAGTTGTACACTAACTTTGACCACCTAATACCAAGTCAGAATCAACAGATTAAATTTTTATTCAGACCAGTAAATTTTTAAAATACAATCATGTAATGATGTTTTTTTACAAAAACTAGCCAACTATTCCAAGCCATATGATTTTAGTTTGTAAAAAATACAGATTTTGAATCAGTTCTTATAGTTCCAAGTTTTGCATACAAAGACCATTCGTAATTTTTTTCCTGTACCCAACAATATTGCCATATGAAGTGATTAAGCTCTGAGATAATGAATGTGATCTACTGGTGAACACATCGAAAGTTATCTTAAGGTTAATTATGATGTTAATGAATAATGAACAAAAGCTCACCTTAAAGCTAAATACAAATTTTCCTCCTCTATAAAATCCTTCATCTGGGCATATAATCAATTTAAAATTCAATAGGTCATCCGGATCAGGGAATTCTGTGTTGCATGTTTTCGGTAGATTCAATTCATTCAAATCTGTGGATACATTAATATTGGTCATGAAATGAAGCTATTTTAGATACATATAGGAAAGGAGAGTAATCTTATAAAATAACAAGTTAATTTTAATGAAATCTTATTTGTTGCCAATATATTTCTGCCATAAAATACAGGAAATTCATTGGTAATGCTTAATTAAACATGAAAAATCTAGTAAACACTGAAAATATCGCCTAGAACCTTTTGTAATTCGTAATTGGGCTGCTGATGCTTTTTTTTGTGATCCTCCTCCTCTGGTAGAACCCTCTTCATCTTTTTTCTGTTGTTTTAATGAAAAAAGTTTAATCATTTTCCTAACTAATCAATTAAATAGATTAATAATTTATTAAATTCCAAGATCTATTTTGACAGCTTGACTTTTTTGAGTTTTTGTATCACAGATCAGTGTTCGGTGAAATTTTGTTAAATGAAGAGCCAAACCTAGACTTATGATTGGCTAAATAATATACTTTCTCTTTGACTTTTTGTTTTAGCCAATTAGGTATAAGTCAAGCTTCAACAAACACATTCTTCTTGACAATTTCTACCGTTCAATTATTTCAATTTTTAGTTCAATTTAGTTCAATTCTCTGGCGGACCCACACATTATTAATCTGTGGACGAACGCACAAACATCCACAGATCAGTAAAAAAATAGTAGGTACTAGTATATTTTATAGCATAGAAAAAACTAGATTAATAGCTTATCCGAAAAAAAGTTACTTGTGTCAGTTGTATCCATGGAGTTAATAAGTATACTAACTCTATGGTTGTATCACTCTCCGCTCCATTAACTATTTTGTTTTTTTAAGTTTATTTGTAGATCACCAATCCGAAATCATGAATCAGCAAATACACTGTCTCATTTAAAATAGCAAAAATACCGGGTGTTGTTCGATCATGTCATTTACTATGAGTATTATTACGATGTGATTAGGGCAGCGAATCCCTAGATAACGAGCTGCCTATCACTACTGGGGGCGTGCGGCGAAATACAAACGAAACGAAATATAAACTATCAGTACATCAACCAACTAAACATAGCCGTTTGAACAAACACCGCTAACGACTCTCCTTTGTCGGCACATCTTGAGGGCGATACACTGACCGCGAATTTCTTGAGAGGACATTGTTCAAAGATTACCATCACATGCAATACCGTCTTTACCATAAGGGCACACGGGACCCGTTCCCAGGGACCCCATTCTCAGGGGCCCCCTAAGGACCGACAATTTCTCTCACACATTTATTCGGTTTCCGTTATCGTGATCGTAACCAAAAAACCAGCAGTATTCTAATATCATTAATGACATATTATATCATACCGTATTTGATTACCTATAATAAATGGTCATACTGAGTAAAAAATGTTATTATAATTCGCTTTTTTTACTTTCCAAAAGGACCTCAAATTCTTGTGTGTCCAAGGGCCCCAGCCTAATTTAAGACGTCCCTGATCACATGTATTATGTCATGCAGCGAGCGCAAAAAGAGTTTGAGCCCACTGAGTTACTCAACGGATTTTCTCAGAGGGTTGTGATTTTGATCCGGTGGTAGATTCAGCGAAGCATTGCTCTAGAGAGGATGTTTACAAAGTCTCCCAGATTGAGCCCCATGAGCATGCTTATATGTTTGGTGAAGCGAACGCAACAAACAACACTTCAGTTCCGTTCGCGCCGACGCGACGCGCCGTTTCACAGCGAGTGCATTTTACCGCGGTCTGCCACTTCACCAAATATTATTAACTTTCTGCGAAATTTCATCAAAATTATACACAAATCACAAACGTCATTTGCCCTCAAGCTAGGATACCTTCTACTATCGGAAATAGAGATTTAGTTACGTAAATTTAAATATATACACGTTTGCATTTATAATGCTATTTGGGAATATTTTTTGAAAGGTTAGTAATGTCCGACGTGTAGCAATAATTAGTATAAAGTTTTGTAATTGTTGTATTTTGTTACCTTGTTGTAAACTTTTATTTATTAAGGTCTTCCTAAAGTTATTTTTCTGTTTACTTTCTACTTACCTGTAATGTTAATAGTGCAAACTTGTTTACTTTTTGTATATCTATTTTGAATGTATTTTATGGGTGTTTTGTACTGTTCCTTTTTTCCAAATAAATAAATGTATATACATTTAACATAAAATAAGAAAAAAAAAAGTGGTGTCGTGGGACACCAGGTAGGAACGAAGTTCCTTCGGCTAACGTAGAATCGACACAATTTGCAAAAAAAAATCGTGCTCATTTTTATGTTGGTTTTCTTGATTTTTCTCTTAAATTTTGCTGATTAGTTTTTATTTAAGTACAGGAAAGTATTTAGGAAATTCAGTATTTTAGGAAATAATAAATTACGTAAAATAAAAATAAAATCGTAATTCAAATTATCAAAATTATCAATTAAAATAACAAAATATGTCTCTTTAGTTTTGTTTGACAACATAAAATTACATAGAAATAGAAATAATTACAAAATAGAGAGAGAAAGGATGAGAGAACGAAAAGAAAGAGGGAGAAAGAGAAAGGTATTATACACTACTCGCTTGTGTATACGACTGTCGCGCCTGCGCACGTCTCATTTAACGGTTTTATTCCACGCACTTTTTTCCACGGATTTTTCCTTACGGTTTTACTATCACATTTTTTTCAGTTCGGTCGCGCAGCAATATCCCTATCCCCTCCAAGCCTGCCGTAAGGAACTTCGTTCCAATAAAGACAAAAAATATTTTAGGTACACGTACGATTCTCCAAAATGGAATTCCGAACTCACAATTCTCAGCCCAGTAGTTGGGGCGCTGACTACGGTACCCCGAGTCACTCGATGTGTGTACTAGTGTACTATTAAATAATATTTAACTAAATATATATATATATATATATATATATAGTCGTAAATGTAGTTTTATTTTTATTTCTTCGATGGGTGGTTGAGCTCACAGCCCACCTGGTGTTAAGTGGTTACTGGAGCCCATAGACATCCACAATGTAAATGCGCCACCCACCTTGAGATATAAGCTCTAAGGTCTCAAGTATAGTTACAACGGCTGCCCCACCCTTCAAACCGAAACGCATCACTGCATCACGGCAGAAATAGGCAGGGCGGTGGTACCTACCCGCGCGGGCTCACAAGAGGTCCTACCACCAGTAATAAATTCCATGTATGACTCTGGAAAACCCAAGAATTACAATGGTTTTGTCAATTTAGATCTAAAACTACTCATTTTTTAAATCCCATTTAGGTAATAAAAATGTGAGCCGATGTGGATGTAAGGCGATTAAAATTAAAGATCGATTTTCCAAAAGATCGATTCCGATTGGGCCCATCTATGTACCTACGCACTTTGCCGCGATCATAGATTATACACTTTACGCGATTGTAGGCTTTCGTTGATGCACCTATTTATTTGTTGATATAACTTTCCTTCCTGTTTTATGAAAAAATGAACGTATTTCGCTAGAGTAATGAAGCAAAATATTCCAAGTTTGTAACCTACAAGGTTTATAATCGATTACAAAAATATTAACATTCCCGATTAACATTGATGCAACATGGCAAGCGAAGATGTGATAGAATTAGGTTCTTCAGATGATGATACTGAACCAGCGCCAAAGAAAGTATGTACCCAATTTAATATATAATTAAATTTAGCGCACTTTTGCATATAATATTTGATAGACCACCAAACCTAAACAAGTTGTTTAATTGTTATAAACTTTCAGGCAAAAACTCGACCGAATGCCATGGTTCACATACCAAATAATCTTTGTGGAATAACTATAAAACCCGCAAAGCCGTCTAATAGTGCTCTCCCACTGTCGTTAGTGGGTAGGTCAATTACAGTTACTAAAATCCCTAAAGATGTTAATCCAGTTTCAATGAAATTAAAGAATAATGGATGTGCTATTCAGAAGAATAATTCAGTTTCACCAAGACCAGTTGTTAGACAGTATATCAGACAATCACCAAAAAGTAAGATGACAGGGTGCCGAATTCCAGTCAATTTGGTCAACATGAATAATGCAAGAATAGGGAATGTTCCACAGCAGTATAATAAAAATCTTGTACCGAATCCAATTTTGATACAGAATGCGAAACCAAAGGGATTGTTACCAGCTTCCATAACTGTTAAAAAAATGAATACCATGAAACTAGCCACCCCACATATAACTAACCCAAATATGAAGAAGAAATTAATAAAAATATCACCAAAAATACCAATAGCTAATACAACAGTGGAACTTGATGATGATGATGGTGCTTCTCCAGGCCCTGGACCTGCTCGTCAGTGGTACCTGAGACCCGAAGAGCCGACTCAATTTGAAAATGATATAGGGAATGATGCCTCGGAAATTGAGAAACAAAATAATGCAGAGCCTACTCCATCTGATATGGTCGAGATAACTATACAAGACAGTCCTGTTCAGTCTGCAAGAAAGAGGGCATTTGAAGTTGGAGCTGAGTTTGCTATAACTATTGATGATAGTCCTAGTAAACCACCAGCCGATAGCAAAACACAAGATAATGGTAGTGATATTGAAGATAATGTACAAAAAAAGGAATCAAGTAGAAAAAAAAAATTAGAGTATCCTTTGGAAGTGAGCAAAAGGCAGTCAATAGAAATTGAAATATTACCATTTGAAAGTGTACCAGGAAATAAAAGTAATGATGAAGATACAGGAAACAAACACAATACTGGTACTCAACACAATGAGGTTATTGAAATAGAAGAGTCTCCAGCAAAGTCTCATGACCTGCAAGCAAGCACACCAAAGAAAAAGATTCCATTGGTAGTAGCACTTAAAAATAAAACATTTGATGATCAAGAGAATGAAGTAAAAGAAAATAATGAATTTCATCCAGTATATCAGGAGTTTATAGCATTATGTTTCAAATTGGAACATTCTGATGATATGGAGAAAATAGTTGAAAAAAAGATTAAAGCCTATTACAGACAAGTAGACAAAACTTATACTGAATCAGAAGATTTCATAGAAATGGTAGCAAGTAAAATTATTTCAATGAAGGCAAGCCCTGAGAAAATGTATTTGTACATAAAAGATATTGTTGATGAACTAAATTATAAAAGAAAAATGACAAAATCAGTTATTGTCACAGAAGATTCAACTAAAAGTAGAGGTATATAAAATGTTTGTTTAACCCTTAAGTACTGATCTATTCTCAACAGATTATGATTCATAATCATAGTCTCAGAAATATCTATATGTATATGAGAAGTGTTTCTGCACACATATGAATACTAACCATGACATGACTTGTCATGTTTATGGGCTCCAGTGACTATTTCATAACAGACGGGCAGAGATCTCAGTCACCCAAATAAGTAATAAAAAAGTACATTTTTGTAACATTGGTGAAAATGTTAATTTTATTATTCCAGATGAAGAAAACTTTTTATATGGTGAAAATAGTGAATTTGATTCAAAACGACAGAGACAGATACGTAAACTTGAAAAAACCCTCAAGAAGTTGCACCGAGCCATACAAAAACTTGAAGAACAGGAGGTTGATTTTGATGATGATGAAGATTCTGTTTATTTGTTAACTGAAAGGTAATTCTATTGTGTTTGGGAAGTTACTACATTTTTTTTTAATCAATTGATGGTTTACTTATAATGTATAAATTAATAGAACACTATTGAAACTCTGCCTAATGCATGTGTTAAAACTTGTAACTGAATTAAATTTAATAAGACATAAAAGCATTAATTAAAGATTATTAAAATGGTATATTTGGTTGAGACCTAAATCTTCATAACAATAGTTTCAAGATATTGGCTCTATGTTCAGATTTTTCCTTCTGCACTGGGAAGCTGTCTTAAGAACTTTTACTATATAATAGTATTTGTGGTATGAGCCTAACAAATTTGATTTAAATGTGAGGAAAAGTTTGCAGGGAACAATTGTATTTGGTATTGTGATATGAATTGAAGACTTTCCACTGTTGTCGCAAGACTTAAAGTAGACAGATCATAGGCCCTATATGTTATGTGGAAGTTATTGTTTGTGTAATCCAATTTTCACCAGAGAGTTAATCTAAAATATGATAGGCATCATTACTATGCGAGATCCTCTATTATAGAAAATTTTAAATATGTAGGTACAAGGAAAGAATGGTTCGAGTTCATGCAAAGTTTTGTCAGCTGACCAACACAAAGATGCCTTCAGAGCCTCGCTTACAGATCGAACCTCGACCTGGTCATCCTAAAGGACCAGCCAAAAAATTAGAGAAATGGATAAACAAAAAAATTCCAATAGGCACACCATTACCTTTCCCAGACTTCCACGATGTACTGAGGTGTGTGAGAGAAGCTAACGAAGAAGATGATCTCAGGTGGAATGAGGTTGATATTATGGAAGAAGGTATGTATGATTTAGTCAATTTATAGTTTTCATAAAATATCTTAATAGCCAGAACTGTACAGGAAATGTTCCAAAAAAATTTTTGAAGTGCTTTTTTATTATCTGAAAAAAAAAAAAACTGTTATGATCATTAGTATAAATACTGTTAATGAAAAAAATATATAACACTTATTATCTTCCCAGTTTTAATATTTCAATAATGGTGTTTGATTTTCAGCTCGAGATCTATTCACAAGATGTGGCAAAAAATTACAGAGACGTAGACAAGAAAATGAATGGAGGTTAGCAGCATCAAGACTAGCTGTGGATCTCGACCCTGCCGAAAATAGCACTGACCTTAAAACTAAGTTAGAACATAATAAAGTATTAGCGAGCAAGAAAGAGACAGATGTTTTTAACAAGTAAGTTGATGTTTTGTGTGCAAATTAATCATGTCTATAATAACACTTGAAAAAATGTTAAAGATAACTTTTTCAAGTGTTTGTTTAATTTGGTTTGGTTTAACCACAGATTAAGTAAAATTTAGAAAATTTGACTTGCGAAAAAAACAATTTCGATATCAGTATCCGAGTATATATATATATATATAGGTAACGCAATTTATTAAAAGTGTACAATTTCCAAAAATATTCGAAATTGAGTTAATATGCGGAATCATTTGGTATCACCAGTATTTTTCTCATAAATACTGTCAAAAGAATGTATTTTTATTTTGCCTATGTTTTGACTACTGTTAAAAAAATTAATACATAATTTTATCTTACTTTAAAAGACGTTTAATGTATCTGATAGAAAATAAATGTTGCAAAGATGATTAATATTAAAAATATCACATGTTAAACCTTTAAAACACTTTCCTGTAAAATTAGTAAGTTTTGAGATTATACAGTTTTAATGTGAGAAAACGAAATATGTCTTTGTTATATTAACATAGCAAGGCACACCAATGTCTAAGAGCCTTTATGTAATTCATCGTTATTCAAATCATTTCAAGTTTTTCTATTGCCAATAAAATAGCAGTAATCAGAAACTAGATAAGACCATTCGCAATTGCGGTCTGTGAAAAATTACCGGTTCCATCCACCGCATCTGGCATCTGGTTTCACTTTGTTACTGGATAGTCAAGTAGCCGACACTTTGACGAACAGTCCAAACTTCCGTTTACGGACCAATTTTCCACAATTGAAATAGATATTTTAGAAATAATTCAGTCATTAATCAAACACAACCACCTACCATAACAGTTAAATTAATCAAACACCACCACCCGCTTCTTAAATGAAGACAACTTTTAACGTGATCGTAACCAAAAAACTAGCAGCATTCTAATATCATTAATGACATATTATATCATACCGTATTTGATTACCTATAATAAATGGTCATACTCAGTAAAAAAATGTTAATAGAATTCGCTTTTTTTATCTTTCCAAAAAGGGCCTCAAATTCTTGTGTGCCCAAGGGCCCCAGCCTACTTTAAGACGTCCCTGATGGCAAGTCATCATTTTCTTCTCTACAGGTTTCTGAAGATAGGTCCCAATGCTAGTGCCTCATCTATAACTAAAATTTTAAATAGATTTTTGTTTTTTCTTATACCAAAAACAAAGATTTTTTCAAATTTTCTGTTTCAGGTATGCCGATAAACAAAATCAACTTAAGCTAGAAGCAGAAGAGATAGGTGACAAGGAAGCTGAAGAGACACCGGACGAGAGTGACGACGAGGACACTGTTAATTTGGAGATGTCTTTGAAAACCAAAGAAAAGAGAAAAGAAAGATTAAAGAGATTACTTCAGGGTAAATCTAAAAAGGCGAATACAACGAATGACACACTCAGTAAACCTGATGACACAGTGCAACTTATTGAAAATAGTGAAAATCCTGTCACAAAACCCACTGACGAAAATGCGTCTGATGAGGTACAGGAAACTGAAACAGTTGAAAGTGAAGATAAGGCCCAGGCTACGAAAGATCGTGACAATAATTCAGACTTCGGCACTTCACTAAATGATAGCAAAGAAATTGAATCGGACATAGACGAACTTCATCTTCTTGAAAAATTGCACTCGGATCAGTTCAATTCGTCAACGTCAAATTCTTCAGATTCAGGAAGTGCCATACAATTATCAGATACACTCGACTCGAGCAATGACGACAATCCTGACCGAGATGTCATTAGTATTGAAGACTCTAGTTACTCAGAATCAGAAACCCAAAAGCAACCAGACAGCTTATTTCAAATAGATGAAGTTATGAAGAATGAAACGGAAGAATCTAAGCCTGATAATAAACTAGATGACGAAATGAAAGGCACTGTTGAAAACGAATTATCTTTTGCTGGAGTCAGGTCGCGTTACAAGACAAATTATACAAACAATGAACCAGTAGACGTTGTTCTTGCTTCCTCCTCCGATGACGAACATATAATGAACAGCAAAGAGAGACCTGAGAATTGTGTAAATTTAAGTGATGATTCTATTTCTAATACTGGCTCCGTTAGTGCTGGCGTTACTGAAAACAAAGTAGAACATGACGATATTAACGAAGCTGATAATAGTGCAGTGAGTAGTTTTAATATTCCGTGCTCTGTTAGCAATTGTGTAGAAACCGAAAACATTGATATTTCGGAGAAAATTTGCGACCCAACCCAAGACGACAACCCAATGAATTGCGAAACGGATTTATCACCTACAATCGAAAATGAAAATAATCTGACAAGTATTAATGCAACTGTCCAAGTTATTGAGAACAAAGAGAAAGGAAAGGAAGAAAACAAATTAAGTGAACATTTATCTTGTGAACTCGAGCATCCCATTGGGTCCAGTACCAATGAAAATGAAGTGGTCACAACCTCACATCACGATCCAATCGACTGAGTAGTGATAAAATAAATAGGAATAGCTTAGTCAGAGAAGTTTAGTTTTTTGGATGGAACAAAAACCAGAGTATAGCAGGCTAACAGTTATTATGTTAATCTCATTATTGTGTGTAAAAGGGTATTTTACTGGGGTCGTTTTTCTAAGCCCCGTGTATTGTATATTGATCAAACAATATAAGTGCTAATAAAGTATTAAAAAAAAAGTGTTTAAAGTTTTTGTGGCCGATGAGAGATAACATTATTTTCTTTCCCTGCTAAGCAGGCAGCAGTGTGCCATATAGTAATGAATGGTGCTTGTAAAACTTGTCGTCACATATTATTTTATATTAAAATTATATTTCTTATTCCTAAGCATATTTTTGTGTTTCTTTATTTGATCAGAGAATATAAATATTCTGTTAACTTTCCTTTTCATTGCAAAAGTAATGAAAGATAAATCAGTAACATTGTAATGTGTAATATGTGACCTGCCTGCTTAGGGGCAAATAATACTGTTGAGCTTTACTTCATTTTAATACTCTTTAATTTGCTATTAGCTATGTGATGGAATTTTTCAACTTCAGATTTCCGATTAGTTTGAAAATCTGCACACGTATCTAGAACCGATGTCAATTCACTTATTTAATATTACTTTGTCCAAATGTGCTGACCACCATTCTCCAGAACACTTTTATTTACTTTGGCTCGCTCGATCTAAGCGTGTTTTTTTGTAAATCATTTATTTATTGTTCATTTACATTTAAATTTATAAAGGGTATTTAAAATTGAAAATAATGATAACGAATTATTTCAGTTTCATTAATACGTATAATATGTTATTTGAAATGTTATTACGCTCAAAATTGAGAAACAATTATTTATTTTGTTTATTTATGTTTTAATTCACACATGATATCGAAAATATATAGATAATTACCAACGTGCTTTTGTGTTTTATTGAAAACAAAAAGATTAGGCACACATTATTTATTTGCCAAACATTATTGTAAATCTAACTTAAATTTTTGTAAACAGAAAATATAAATTGGATCTTTATACTGTTTGAACGATTTCAAGATTCATTGCATAACGTTTTCTATTATGTTGTTTTCATAGAAATAATGTGAAGCTGGAAAGGCCTCCGGGTCACCAGTAATCCTTCAATCATAAAAAAATGTGAAGCTGATTAGGTGGTGTAAATTGCAAAGAAAACGAAAGACGGCTATTTTAGCCGAATTAGGTCGAATAATTTCAAGATTTTTGAGTATCCACGTAGACAGATCTTTTATTTATAATGTGTGCATTGCGTTGTGCATTCTTATTTCAATGCCTGTTTTGAAGTTATTTGGAATATAATAACGATTTTCTAATTCTTTTTTGTAATTTGATGAATTCACGGTTCATATGATGTTAAATGGTAACTTTAAGTCACAATTTAACTTCACTTTCTTGACTTGAGAGTCAGTTCCGTGACTTCAGTGTCACTTTAAGTGGACTGGTCCGCGAATGCGAGACCGCGGGCCCAAAGACGTTTTCAGGGACCTACCCACTAAACGACTGCCCTGCACTTTTCACCCAAGCGTCCGATCCGATCTCCTCCGAGGTCGAACCCGGATGAGGTAAGAGGGTTATCGCGGTCAAAACTACAACCAGACGGCGCAGCTCACCCCAAGGACGCCCGGCCGACGGAGCGGAGACGAATCGAAGGCTCTGAAACGTCGGCCGTCTTAGTACGGCAGCCCGTCAGGCCGCCCATACGGTGCCGCTGGTGTCCCGGAATACCTTGCTGGAACCAGAACTAGCCTGCCGGGTTGGGACGCGATACACCGCCAACCAGTTGCTCTTTCGTATCTCCTTGGCGGCGCGCTAGAGCACTGGTAGTGCGCCGCGCGGCCTCTACTCGTTCAGGTCGCCCCGTGACCTTCACCGGGGGGAAGCTGCCACCTTCAGGGGCCGGGATGTGCGGGCGTAATCCCTCCTCCGGCCCTCGGCTCGACGGCGACGGATCGGTGTGGAAAGGGAAGAGCTCTCCCTCTCTTGTTCCGCCGCCTCGACGCATCACGTATGCTTTGGCAAGCTTTTTTTTTCGGATACGGGGCCGGACCTCATACATGATTACATCGTTTTCGCACATAGGGGGCGCCTGGGTATGTGGGTCTTAACGGCTCGTAAATGTTGAGAGCGGACCGCGGGCCTAAGGGTGTTTTAGGGTCCAACCTCCAATCGTCGTGAAGGATAAGACATCCGGTGCAAACGTAGGTATCTAGCGATGCACCGGCGTTCGAATCCCGCTTTCGATGGCAATTTTTCAAATGAAATACGTACATAACGCATCTAAATAAATGACTTCCATTTTAAAGTATAGTATTTTGTAATAAAAACCCACACGCTATTTGCATAACTACTGGCGGGTGTCTTTTGAGCCCACGCGGGTGTTTTCCACAAATCTGTCTGTTTCTGCCCAGTAGCAGAAATGGGCTGCGGTTTGATGGGTAAAATAGCCATTATACTATACAATTGAGGCATAGGCCGTATAACTCAAACTTGGGTTAGATTGCCGAAGCATCTGTTGTTGACCCAACGGGGTATCCCGGAACACCCGCAACATAGCCCGGGCGGTCTGACACCGCGAGTCTAGTTGTATTGTTGTCCGAAACCACCCTACTACACACGCCCGGGCTCCGAAACTGGATGGAGACTTTTTTATTGATTTATTGCTTACGTGGGTTGACGAGCTTACGGCTCACCTGGTGTTAAGTGGTTACCAGAGCCCATAGACATCTACAACGTCAATGCCGCCACCTAGCTTGAGATATAAATTCTAAGGTCTCAGTATAGTTACAACGGCTGCCCTTAAGTACGTATTTCATTAGAAAAACTGTTGAATGTCTATGGTCCATCGCTCGATTTGAGCTGATTTGGCGTTTTATTCTTTAAGCCATGAAGACTTATTGAATTTATAACATGTGATTAGAAATATGTAGGATTGGGGTAGGTTACTGTGCCTGCGGTAGACCATATACCAGTAAATCAATAAAACGATAGGTTGGGATAGGTGCGCTAGTGGTTTTTTTTATATTTTTTTATTGCCCTTGTAGGCAGACGAGCATACGGCCCACCTGATGGTGAGTGGTTACCGTCGCCCATGGACTTCAGCAATGGCAGGGGCAGAGCCAAGCCGCTGCCTAACTGGTTTTAGCAAAGTTGTTGTATTTGTATTACCAGACTCTTCATATTAATAATCAGTAACTACTCATAGCGAAGCATGGTCGGGAATTATAATTTTTAAATAAATAAAGTCCTTTCTGTCTTCGCTTCATTAAAGCATCACTAGCTTGTTAGTTAAAAGCTGTAACCTAGAAAATTAAACACTACGAGTATTTTATAGACTTGACTAGAAGGACATCTTTTAGACATATCCGGATCTCTGCTACTGCTGAGTGCTACTAACTTTAAGACCAACCTGGGTCATCGTATTTGTCAAAGTAATTAATAATCCACGTGAAACTTAGTCCATACGCCCGTTGAGTTTCTCGTCTGATCTTCTCAGATGGCCGACGTGGTAGATGTATCTGCCAAGCAGTAGCTCTCGGGCTACTAGGCCTCCTTCAGGGGTGCCGAGGAAGTTATTAACGAGCCTCTCTCCTGACAGAACCGTCGAGTTCACCTACTCGTTGCGATAGCGTCCTGGCTTTAGCCATAGTTTAGTTTCTAGTCAAAAGTTAAATATATGACGAAAATGCCGAGTTTCCTTCTGACAACACAGTAAAAGTAGACAATAATTCGTCGTCACATTTATTTACAAATAATATTTACAAAGGTCTGTTTTAAGTACAATGTTTAATTTATCCTTATTAGCTTAGTCGATCCTGTTATTTACGTGAAACAAATAGGTCCAACTTTGAAGCCAAATTGATGTTTTGCTTCATTAAAGCTTAGCGGTTGGAAGTCTGTTATCGGAAGTCTTTCCGTCCTTGACGTTTTAATCTCCAATACGATCTCGCCTGATCCATCCTGCGAATATAATTGTAACTTAATAAATTGAGTTAACAATAATTTTTTATTTCAGATATTTCTTTTTTTGAACAATTTTCCTTAGACTTTCTATTCTTTGTACTTAGTTAGATAATTTAAAATGAATTAATTTTCATATTGAATTAATATCTTTTATTTTCAGGCGAATCAGTTTTCTTGGATTTAAAGACAAACAAAAGTTAGGCTGGTATCATGATTAAAATATGAGTACTTAACAATAATAAAGTAGATAAACTTAAAGAACACAAGGAACAAAAATGAAAAATCTAAATAACCTTTTTATCCGGATAAACCTCAGGATATTAGGCCAAAGTAATAAAATTCTTGTATTGACCCTAGTCCTTGATAAGCATACTGTCAAAGGTTCGCTTAATGAATTCATGAGCTTAATTTATGTTGATACATATGTGTGGAAAATATCATGTAAATCGGACGTGAAGATGCTGAAGTTGTTGAAAATTACATTGAAAGATTATTTTACATAAATATATATTTAGAATAGAAAAATCAATCTTCGTACCTTACATTCGTCTTTGACAATTTGGGGTTCCCTAAATTCAGCAGAGTTGAAACCGTACAGTTTGATATTGCTAGCTCTTACCAAATCCATCGGGATATCAGATCTGGAGATTTAATAGAATTTTTATATTATTAGATTATATTACAAAACATGATTTATTTTATAGAGTGTATGTAGAGTTAAGTCTTTACTTAATTATATGTTACTATTAATTGATATGTACAAATAATTAGTTAAAATTATTTAATTATAAGTTAAAATACAGTAGTCACCTTTGTTGTATTTCGGTATTTACGCAAACATACGAGAAGTTTTGACGGGCTCCTTTTGAAAGTAGCCTCAGGAAACGCAATTGTATGGCTCCAGATCCTTCTGCGTCATAAGATATCTAAGAAAAAAAAAACTCGGATATTTTTGTGAATTTTGTGATATTCTTTATCTTAATCGAGTTAATTTTCACTTTAAGTTATTTATTGTGTACTCGTACAACGAAATGCAAGTAAGTAAAATACAAAGATATTGAAAAAAAAAAAAAAATGTTTTACTTTCACTTTAATTTTAAATTAAATTTAAGGTGTCACTTTTAAAGTTGTCTTTTGGTTTATTTTTTGAAAATAGAACTTTATACTTACCCGGAAACCGTTTTTCATCTGTGAAAACTTATGGGTATTGGCGTCATTGTTGTAAACGCTTTGTTCTTTAACATCCGGATATAAACAAGTACTATATCCTTTGCAGTAGGCTTTGATTGGACGTCCGCTCCCGCTTCCACCTCTAGCATCAATCCAATAATCGCCTACATTAAAAAAAAAAAGATTTACTATGCTTACCTCATTATGCATGACTACAGGATTCAGAAAAGACTACGGCATTTAAAAAGTTTCGCTTCCAGTGTGCTTAGTGCGAGTTTTTTAACGTTCTCGATAGCGTAAAAGTTAGCTCAGATTTGTATGGAGTTCGAGCGTTTGCCTACGTTTGCCGCTAGGGGCGCTGTTCCAACTGCATACAAATTCGAGTTAATTTTTACGCTATCGAGAACGTTAAAAAACTCGCACTAAGCACACAGCACTTTATTTACAATAACTTAAATACTTGGTTAGTAAGCTTACCGTCAGTAATATTAGGAAATGACGTCTTTAAGTCTTTGCACGACAGTGCTGGATTGGTTCTAGTTCCTCTTGGATTTTTAACGGTTTCCAGAGTGCTGCGAGCAACAATTATTCCTGACATTATTTCTTTCACCCAGTTGATGTCTTCCTCTGAAAACGATGATTTTGATTTGGAAAAATCCTTATGGATTGATAATTTTGGATGTAGTACAGACAAAGGCTTCAAGTTCATTAGCTAATAGCAAATAGTAAATAGCTATGATTTGATAACATAGTTCAGTGTCAAACTGAGTCGTAAGACTATAACTAGAGCAACCCAAAGGGTAAACAGACAAACAGTATTGTGTTAATTGTTTTTATCTGCTCTAGTGGTAATTAAAACAAATATTATAGTTAAATTAGGGCTATGGTTCCCGAAAATCGAAGAATATGCTTTAGCGGTGAATTTTTAAGCTATTATAATAGTTTTTTCTCAATTTAAATTTGAATATAACAGTTTGTACTCATTACTTTGATTGTATACTTTAATCACAGAGATTTAAATTGTCTAGGTCAAATTAGAAGGATAGCTTGAGTAAATTTATATGTTATAGGAATACCGTCATCAAAACTGTCTTCAGTGCCGGTTTCAATAGAGGAGGAAATGGAGTCAATACTGCGTTTTCTTCTATAAGATGATAAAAGTTGTTGAGGAATTTGTGGGGCTGGTGCGGGGGGTCCGGGTGGACCTGGTGCACCTGGTGGTCCTGGTAATCCAGGACGGCCCTCCGGTCCTGTCTGGCCTTTCGGTCCTAGAGGACCCTCAGGTCCTGTAAGACCAATCGGGCCCGTATCGCCTTTTTGCCCTGGTGGCCCTATGGGTCCCTTAAACAAATATATTTTATTTTTAATCTTTAAATCTTTATCTTTTATCTTTATAGTAGCATTATTCAAATTAAATGCCTGTAGACCATTATATATTGATGAAGTAATCGTTTGGTAATAATATAAGTTGGCAATATATTATAATAGTAACTTTTTTTAAATAGTCCATTGTTTCTCGTAATTCTGACTTGGAATATGATGAATATTTAGAATTTTTGTTATTTCTGATGTTTAAAGGAATTACAAATAAAATATATTAAATATGTTTAATCAACTAACATTATCGCCCTTTGGGCCTGATGGACCCATTGGGCCGGGTGCTCCTGTTTTTCCGACTTCGCCTTGATCTCCTTTCAGGCCCATAGGCCCAGTATTTCCGATATGCCCTTTAGGTCCTCTGTCTCCCTTTTCACCTCTGATACCCGGAGCTCCAGGTGGCCCAGCCTTTCCAGAAGGTCCCGATGGACCCATTACTCCTGGTGCTCCAACTTCGCCCTATGAATAAGTACAAGTACAGTGATTTGATTATGATATACAAATTAATATTTTAATGTTATGGTATATTCCAATACATTGATTTAACATTATCTTTAAAAAAAAAATCATTAATCGGCTAATATATATATTTCAATATTGTGTGAATACAAAAGACGCTTACTAACATTAGGTCCTGGTGATCCTCTAATACCTCGTTGTCCTTCTGGACCGGGAGGTCCTGGTGGACCATTCGGACCAGGTTCACCTTGAGCTCCTTTAGCTCCAACATCGCCTTTTTCCCCGGCTAAGCCAGGACTACCCTGTAGACCTGCAGGACCCTCGGAGCCCTGAATGAGATGTATTTACGTATTTGATAACACGATTAATCACAGTATAATGAATTACATCATATATTTAAAATCAATTTCATTTTAGACTAGCTGTGAATAATATTACAAATAAAATATAATATAAACGGCCGTCTGGTGCACTGGTAAGTGACATGGTGACTTCACAAGGGGGTCGCGGGTTCGAATCCCGCCAAGGGAAGATATTTTTATGATAAATATAAAAATGTCTTTTCCAAGGTTATGGACGTATATTAAATACATACGTGTATGTGTATAATAAAAATCTTACATTTATTTCCGCTATCTGGTACCTGTAACCGAAGTTCTTTACAAACTTAGCACGGGACCAGTTAACGTGGCGTGATGGTTAGTAAATATTTATTTGTTATTTATAATATTATACAATGAACATGTTCTAGAAGTAAGTATTATAATGGACTGTGTTTGATACTTACAGGACTACCGGGCATCCCACTTTCGCCAGGTTTTCCTGTTGGTCCCACAGGTCCGGGTGGCCCTGGTGGACCAGTACTACCCTCGGGACCTTCAGTTCCGGGTTCACCCTTGATACCTGAAGGTCCAGGTTCACCTCGTTCACCTGGTAAGCCGGCAGGTCCGTTGTCGCCTTTGGGGCCTTCCGGGCCAGGTAAACCTTTAGGTCCTGGTTCTCCTTGCAAGCCCACTGACCCGTCATCACCCTTAGGTCCTACTGGTCCAGTTGGCCCCTGTATATAAAAGTAGAAAAATATAAATATCGTCTTCCGAGGTCTAAAGTATGTCTAAATATGTCCTTATTATTCCCTTACACCATCGTAGCGTTTGTATTTTGTTGAAGTTTATACATTATGTGACCGTCACATGTTTATATTTCGAGTCTTGATATATTATCTATATCATTAAAATCTAAAAAGCATTGACCTAGTTGAAACTTAATTTACCAGGGCTTAAGGTGCGGTATTCACGTTGTTATGACATGTCTATGGGCTCTCGTAGCCCTTCACCTTATGCAACATTAAGAATGATACAAGGAAAAATAAATATAAAATAAAATATAGACATGAAAATTTAGTAACTCACTTGTTTTCCTTCAGGGCCCGATGGCCCTGGTTGGCCCGTTGGTCCTGGACTGCCCAATTCTCCTTGTTGTCCTTCTGGCCCACGTGGACCAGGCTCACCTGCTATACCTTTAGCGCCACGTCGGCCCGGCGGCCCTGTTGCACCCGGCTGGCCGGTGGCGCCTTTAAATGCCAATTGCTTAATAATCTTCCCGAGTTAATTATTTAGTATGTATTTAGAAATATATCAAGATATTTACCAACTGGACCTATGTCACCAGCGTCTCCTTTTGGACCCTGTTGTCCTTTGATTCCTTGAAGTCCTGTAGGACCAATTGGTCCCGGAGGTCCACGTGTTCCGTCGATACCAGGAGAACCAGGAAGTCCAATATCACCCGGAGGTCCCTTTTCTCCTGGAAGACCAACTGGACCAACTTCTCCACGAAGACCTTGAATGCCAGGTGCCCCTTGAGGACCCTACAAAGCCCGTAAACATTGACCTTAATTTAATTATATTTTATTAATCTAATGCGTGCTTTGAGATAGCTCTTGAGATAATTATTCTCTACTGGTATATGAATAGGTGTTTCACTTCAAACCAAGCTACGCATTTGACATAATGTGCCATATTAAAATTAATTACTTACCGATTCGCCCGTGGCACCTTTAAAACCTTTTTCTCCGGGTGGCCCTGCTTCTCCTTTGTCACCATCTTCTCCAGGAGGACCTACAGGGCCTGGAACTCCTGGTAAGCCTCGTGGGCCAGTTAAGCCATCACGCCCGATTGGCCCTAGATTGATAATCAATTTGTTTGTTATTTGTTGTTTACTTGTATGAGTAAAATTTTTAAATAATTATATTTTTTATTTGGATGTGTACCTATTGGTCCCTGTTCACCAATTTCGCCTTTTTGACCACCTGGGCCTGTAAATCCTCGCGGTCCTTCACGTCCTTGAGGTCCTGCATTACCTTCATGACCGGGTTCGCCGGGCTCTCCTTTATCACCTCTTATTCCAGGGGGTCCAGGTGGACCTAAATCTCCTTTGCTTCCGGCATTTCCCTAGAGTTTAAAATAAATGAAAACAGCTAAATTTAAAAAAAATGTTATTTCTTAAATGTGAACTATTTCATGTGTTTGGCTCCAATTTTTACCGGTGTTCCTGGTAAACCAGGATCTCCTTGGGGTCCTTGAGGTCCAGACGGGCCCACGGGTCCTTGTTTTCCTTCAGGGCCTGAAGGTCCAGGCGGACCTTCTTTACCAGCTTCGCCCGGAGAACCAGCCTCACCTGGAGTACCAGGTATTCCGGAAGATCCAGTTGGTCCTGGAGGACCCGGGTCACCATTAGGTCCTTGTGGGCCCATTATTCCTACGGGTCCTATTAATCCTTGGGCACCAGGTTCACCCTTAAACAAAATTTATTTATTTCATCAAACGTGGCCCGTGATACGTAGATATTTAGTGCAATAAAAATACGGTCAAGTCGACTACCGATGGTATTAAATGGTTATAGTTTTACTCATATATTTAGAAAGGTTGTGTGCTCTTAGGAGAGCGACCATAGTGCTTTGTTATCCCGTTTGGTTTTGAAATTCACTTTTTATTTCGTCCAGCATTTCTCCAATGGCTTTGTCATTTGTTACACACATTGTACTGTTGTTAAATTAATTATTAATGTGACCTACTGTAGGGCCCCGTTCTCCAGTTGGTCCAGGCAATCCAGCTTTGCCATCAGCTCCCGGAGGGCCTATAGCTCCCGGGAAGCCTCTCACTCCTTCAACTCCTTGAGGTCCCCTTTCTCCTATCTGTCCTGGTGGTCCAGGTTGGCCAGTATCACCTTTAGCACCGGGGGCCCCATCTGAACCACGGCGTCCTCTAGGACCCCTATAACCCTAAAATATATGTAGGATTTAATTATTACTAACATTTCTAATTATTGTAAAACGTTTCTGAACGAGTGAAAGATTCTGAACGCATGATGTGTGAAAGGGACGGATGTAGCGCTAGTTCGCTCTCTCGCACGACGCCGCCATTAGGAGTAAGACGTGTTCTAGACGTGCGCTAATCATGTTCGGAACTGGATTGAACATGACATCGTTCTTTTGAGTGTCGGAACTAGTTCCAGTAAACATGTTCGCGGAACTGTTTAGTTTCACGAACATGTTAAGTCTAGTAGCTGTTTGTAGTTTGTAGCTGTTTAGTTCCGCGGACATATTAAGTCTAGTAGCTGTTTGAAGCTGTTTAGTTCCGCGGACATGNTATTGTAAAACGTTTCTGAACGAGTGAAAGATTCTGAACGCATGATGTGTGAAAGGGACGGATGTAGCGCTAGTTCGCTCTCTCGCACGACGCCGCCATTAGGAGTAAGACGTGTTCAAAGTGCTCTCTAAGAATTAAATAAAAAGTATTGTGAAACCCTAGAAAAGAGTATTTCATTTAGACCCACACCTACATATATTTGTTGTTAATAACTATTAAAATAATAAGATTATTTTTTTGGTTTGAAACATAATTAATCGTCATTAATTACTGCATGTTTCCAGAACGTAGTTAAGACTGAGAGGTTTTTGTAATACTTACCCTTGGTCCCATTTCACCACGGTCGCCTGGATTTCCAATAGCACCCTGTAAGTTGCAAATATACTATACAATTAAAACTCAGGTTTACCGCATGACAAACGAGTACAAGCTTTACTGTTTAAATATATTAAATTGACCATATCAATTTCCTCTTTTAAAACCTTTAAAAACCTTTTCGGGGTAAAATAGAACGCAATTACTTAATTATCAGTTTTTGTTTTACATTCTGTCTTTTTAAAATAATCGTAATACCGTATTTCCTTTGTTTCCTCTTCGACCTCTTCGTCCTGAAGCTCCTTTATCTCCTTTTTCACCTTGGGTGCCCGGATATCCTTGAGGACCGAGAGGACCAGTAGCTCCCTTCTCACCTGAAGGTCCAATTGGTCCTGTCTCTCCTCTTGGACCTTCAACGCCCTTGATATAGACAGATAAGAATTTTATTTATAAAAGAGAATTCAGAATTTTTACATGGGCTATTGTAGATATCACTAAGCGATTTCAGTAACAAAAATAAATATTGGCGTCCTTGCACTTAGCACGACAATGGTTGCATTCATTTATTTTTTGGTTAGAAATTTCGCTTGGGTTCTGTGGTCGGTAGTACAGTAAGAAGTTATATTGGTAATTAATAAGCAATACAAAATCAAATTACAAATTAAATAAATAAGCTACATTAGTTTTTTTTGTGACATACATTTAAAAACATTGCTCATATACGAAGCCATGACCGGCTTGTTGTTAAGGGCCTAAAGACGTGTAGGCCATCATACACCTTGTGATATGAGTTCGAAGTCTTAATTTTACTGTATCACGGCTGTTCCACACTTAAAACTGGAACGTATAATTGCTTCGCGGCAGATACAAGCAAGATGCCGGTACATACCTAAGCGGTCTCATAATATACTCCAACACTAGGTTAAATAAAATTTTCGATAAATGATTATAGCAGATATTTTTCCAGTGATGAACCCTACTCACCTTCTGACCTTCAGGCCCTTCTATACCAGGAGTCCCAACTTCGCCAGATAGTCCTCGTTCTCCTTTAGGACCCATGTCTCCTTTCTCGCCTTCAATGCCTATAAATTTACGAACATTTATGTACACAGATTTTGTTGTCGTAACAAATTTAATTTCCACGTGAGTATAGCTAACCCCTTATGCCTTTATCTCCTTTGTCTCCTGGTAAGCCCCGTGGTCCTTCATCTCCTTTTATTCCACGAGTTCCAGGGAAACCTAACATTCCCTGTTAAACAATAAAAGTGATTTGAGTTCAGGATAACAAATTGTCTTTAGTATTTATGGCATATGATAATCCAGTTATTTAAATTAAACAAGAAAAAAACCTGTGGTCCTTGTGGCCCAACTTCTCCTGGAGATCCTTGTTGTCCTGGATTACCAGGGGTACCGGGTACTCCTTCCGGTCCTGGTAGTCCGGATATTCCAGATTTTCCTTGAGGCCCCTGTACATTACAATTATTAACCAACGGCAATTTAGTTTGAAGTTCGATCTATTTTGAAGGACTAAATTATACCTGCAAGCCCGGTATTCCGGTTGGTCCTTGTGCACCTGGTGCTCCTGGAGGCCCACTTATACCTGGTTGTCCTTGCGGCCCGGATGGCCCTGGTTGTCCTGTTGCTCCTTTCGATCCTTGGAGACCCTCGTTCCCAGGTATGCCAGGATATCCTATTAAGCCTGGAAAACCTCTAGGTCCCACAAAACCTCTTGGCCCCTGCAAACGTCAATATAGATATAGTAGAATAAAATGTGATATACATACGTAGGAATTGAGATGTACAAAAGTATTAACCAGTTCGCCAGAAAGCCCTTGTGGCCCCGGAGGACCGTCGTCTCCAGGGGGACCGTCTTGTCCTGGAGCTCCTGGTTCACCCTGTAATCCTGAGATGCCCCGCTCTCCTTTGTCTCCTGGCATGCCTGAAGATCCCGGGTATCCTGGTTCACCCTTTTGACCGAAAGGTCCTGTTGTACCTCTTTCGCCATCCCTGCCGGCATGACCCCGGCGTCCTTGTCTGCCTGGCGGCCCTTGAGAACCTCTTGGACCTGGTGGGCCCTAAAAGTACAAAATTCCATGAAAAGGCTATTGAAAGGTGAAATGGAACCCTAAAATGATTTTAGTAGGTTCTCACTGGCTCTCCTTGTTCGCCCTGTTCACCCTTCGGTCCTTCAGGACCAATTCCACCTTCAGGTCCCGGAGGTCCGGTTAGACCCATCGGGCCCTCAACACCTCGCATTGCAGCCTGGTGGAAAATCATAAGTTATGTTCAAATTAGCAAGTGTATTTTCAGACCATGTGCACAGAACACTAATTAAGGCATTTCGTTAAATTTCTTATGTAAAAAAAAACTCACCATGTGTTGCGTTAACATTTGTCGCAAGGCTTCAGACTGAACATCGGGGCCTTTATCACTGCCTGATTGTTGTATCTGAAAATTAATTAAAAAACACTCGCATCTTATTTAACACGTTAACCTCACGTTGCTTATCGCTTGAAGATCTATGACGTCGCTGAAGATCACACAGCCAAATCATCTTAGTTCGAGCGTCTCACGTACGAGTAAATCTTTCAAGTTGATAGCCCTAAAGCTTCTTCATTTAATTATCGATAGTTAATTTGTCAAAGTAGTGATTTGAATCTTTAGTATAATGTTTGGCTTTAAGACATCTTTTACCGATTATTGAATTCCTGCTTTAAGTATTTACCACGGACAATTTATACACAAATTCCGTGTTGTTTTGAGTAGTTGGTGATTGTAAATACTATAAAGGTTACACTATGTTAATGAGCATTAATTATTTTAATGACAGAAAATTCAGCCAATATTTTACTGAGAAATAGATTAAAGTTACTTGCAAGAGACATTGAGAGGGATGAAATTTATCAAAAGTTTTCAGAATACGTATAATATACTAAATAGTAAGCACTGAATACTCGTAGTACTTAATTAATGAATCTTCTATATATAAGTATATAAAAATGAATTGCTGTTCGTTAGTCTCGCTAAAACTCGAGAACGGCTAGACCGATTTGGCTAATTTTGGTCTTGAATTATTCGTGGAAGTCCAGAGAAGGTTTAAAAGGTGAAAAAATATGAAAATGCTCGGAATTATATAAAAACAAACAATTTTGTTTTTCCTTTGATGTGTCCCCCGTTGGACGGATTCCTTTTGTTTTTTTAAAGTTTATTTATTACAAAAGTTTAGGTCTTTTATTTATCGATTTAGGCACTACGAAGTGTGCCGAGTCAGCTAGTTACTGAATAAATGACTAGCACTATTCAGCTAAAACAACTATGTAGTTAGTGCATAATTTAGTTAGTACATTTTAAAACAACGCTTGACTTACAGGTACGACAAAAACATGTCCAGGCGGACCTTGAAACCCTTGTTGTCCTTCTACTCCTGGTTTGCCTGGTTCACCTTTCGGTCCTCTTGGTCCCTGGGGTCCAGGCGGTCCGGCATATCCTCTTGGACCATTATACGAGCCAGAGCTACCATAATCATAATATGTTTCTGATGAATCATAATTTGATGAGTTATTCTGAAATACAAATATAATTATAGATTTATTTTTGCTAATAAAGTACAGCTTAAGAATTCGATTACGATAATTCAGTTTAGGATTCAGTCTTGGTACATTTCAGTTTTCAGATCTCAGTAGACTTTGGTAACCTCTTAACACCTGGTGGGTCATCCACTCGTTAACCTAAATAGTGCAATCAGGACCCTCAATTTGTGAAGGATTATTCTAGTTCTAGCTTATAAACCTTTAACATCCTACTTATTGTAGAATTCACATGAATTGTTGAACAAAATTTTTATAAATTCAACCTTTTCAGTCATTTGATGAAAACATTGTGAAATACAGTTATCTTAACCTTACCTAACTACATACGTAGCTTTCATAAAATGCGGGACGTATTATACAACGTACATATACAAAGCTTAACGTAATAAAGGCGTTATCTCACTTCGGCTTCATCCGGCGGGTGTGTGAGCCAATTTGTGTCTTCTGTGGTCGTAATAGGGGTGTAGGGCGAGTCTGTTGTTACTAAAGTTACTTCCGTCTCTTCACCGGTCCCTGGCGTAATGTGTGAGGTATCCTTTTAGAGAAAAAATCATTTGACGTTCAAAAAGGCTGCTGTGAAAGATTGCCAGTGGTTTTTATTTTATTATGTTTGGTAATGGAACCCACATAAGCAATCTATAGTTATTTCGTACTTACTACTGATTTTTAATAATTAAATTACAATTATTGTAGCAAACTTAAATTGAGACCTTCCATTCAAATGGTTTTTATTCTATATACTCACAAGACTAGGCGTTATTTCAACAGTTTCAGGAGTGGTCGGAGAGCTATCAGCGTCTAATGAGAGAGCAGGTGTAAATTCGCCATCCGTAAATCTTCCAAATATGCTGTTTTCATCTAAAATTACAAAAATAGTTTATGTGATTTGACTTATTTTTAATTTTTGGAAAATTAAGGAGGAAAAAAATGTAAGAAAGGCACATTTCCCAAGAATCTTAATAGCGCGTATCCATGTAATGAGAACTCATTTATGATTTTTTACCACTAATATAGTCGAATAGGACATATCCATGTACTCATCTACCTCCGAGAAGAAAAATCGGTTTATAAGTAAAAAGGCAATTTAAAAAAAATGCAGTGCGTGCAGAAGTCTATTTTAATCCCACAGATACAGCCAACTGAGTGTCGCTCTGTGGGTCGCGATTGCGGTCTGTGTTAGATTCAGCGAAGCACTGCTTTTGCTAAGGTGCCTGCCTACACGTTCGGTGAATCTAGCATAACCCCTCGAAGTTACTAGCGGTAAGTTGGCAAAAAAAACCTATTTTAAAGTTTATCGTGATTTCACTTATAAACTTTATACACCTTATATACTTATAAGCAATAATATTATTATTAGACTTCTTAGCTAAATACATATTATTATATACGTTATTTAGCTAGTTCTAGTGAATTTGCGCTGTTATACATTTCTAATGATAATGTAACAAATATTAATGTTTTTTAAGTATATACCTGCATCTGTAGAACGTACGAATTGTCCCGTAATCGGATTGTATGACTCTGTGATGTGCCAGTTTGGTCTGATCGTTGTTAATTCTCTGCTAGCGACTTCCCATGGATTATTAGTTTGATTCCTATCAATGAATCTTTCTGTATCGACATTCTCAAATGTCCTCGGCTGCTCTGTAGTTTCAACATTAAAGTCTGTTTGAGTAGTTATTTCGTTGTAATGAAGAGGTCGATATCGGGGTTCTAGTTCAGAATTAAAAATTCCTCCTGCAAAGTAGCCGAGGCCTCTGCAGTCTGGTGCAACTACTGTGCACATTTCGTAGGCAATATCAGGTTTGTCAGCGAACTGTAGCATTTCTATATCCCCCTATAAATAAAGTGGTTTGGTTAAATCAAAATCACTTTTCTGATATATGTATCTTGTTTTTTGTTCGAATGATTTTTAAGTAAATAAAGATTCATTGTGAATAATAAATTAGTTTCATCTATGACTCAATAGTCGTAAAATGAGTAGTTTTGTCGATCAGGATTTTTAAGAATAGTTTTGTAGGTCGCTAAGTTGTTTGAATTTTACAATGGATTACTAACTAATTTATCTACTTGCTTATAAAAGTTTTTGTGACAAACCTCGTAATATTGATCTGGGGTATACTGGACTCCCACAACGATAGCACCGGCTAAGTTGAACGTGCTCCCAGTTTTTCGATTTAGAGGCATTGTTTCTATGTAATCGCAATCCACGATAAGAGTGGCAGAATCGCCTTTTAGGCTGAGTGCTAGACGATGCCATCTGATTTGAAAGAAACTCAATTAATTCACGCCGGTAGCTACAACCATACCAATATGTGATACCATGCCATACCATCATATACTCCGAATTGAAACATAGGACAGCCATTTTTCAATACAGTTGAGACTACGAGCCTAAAGTGGCGTTCGTAATGCCTATGAGATTATATAGCAGATTTTAACGAAGCGGGGTGTGAGTTCATCTTTTCACTTGATAAGGTAACTTATAATGACATCATTGGCATTCACTAGATAAATATTTCGTGTAGAAAATAAGCACATTTTATCGTTGGGACCTTGGACGGATGTTATATTTAGGAATGGCTCCACAATAAGTGTCGTCGTGATTTCAGATTGTACGAAAAGGTACATTGGTAGGTACTCCGGTCATCGCTCTCGTCGAACCCGTCGCTTGCGACGAGGGGCCCGACGAGTAAATTAACCCATAGACACAGCCTACTGACTTTCTCGCCGGATCTTCTCAGTGGTTCGCGTTTCGGATCCGGTGGTAGATTCTGCGAAGCATGGCTCTTGCTAGGATTTTTGTTAGCAACGTCGTCAGGTTTGAGCCCCCTGAGCTCACCTACCCACCCACCCACGTGAGCCCACCTACCTACCTACCTTAGTTAAGGTTAGGCTGAAATAGCCTCTCAAGGCTGTCGGCATAGGAAGAAAAAAAAAGGTAGGTACACGGACCTCTTTGTTTGTTAGTGTACAGGTTAACCTTACCTTCCTTCAGCAATATTAGCGCGATAAGTTAGGAGCTCATGATCTTGAGGGTCACCCCTTGTATCTTCGTAATATAACTCGACCATCTCTCCAACTACCAGTTGCAGTTGTTCGTCACCAGCATCCGAGTACATCACGAATACGGGGTTCTGTTCTGTGCCTGAGGCAAACGTACATTTATGGTTTTACCAAATAAAAATAATTGAATTGAATTTAGATATAAGTATACATTCTTTAATTTTATTTTAAATTTTATTTTAATTCAATTAACTTTTCAATTCAATCAAATATCAATTTTTCCCTTTCTAGTAAGAGAGAATAAAAAAAAAAAAAAATAACTACATGTCTAGAGAAACTCTTTATTGAAACGCCACTTAAGTTTCGATTTTGGCTGTTTTATTTGTTGCAGAAATATCTTCTAGATAAAACGTAGAATTGTACAGATATAGTTAATAAAAATATAATAATGTAGTCTACAGATATAATATTTGAGACAGAGATATGAGACTAGAGAAATGAATGGGTGCGTAAAGTAGGTGCGTGGGTTTTAGCTTTAATTTGTTTATGAAATGCCTACGTTGCTTTACACACGTATTTATTAAATGTAAGATTATCACTTCATTAGTTCTAGGATTTATGGACTGTGATGAAATATTGATCTTAACATTGATACAATTAAAATAATTTAAAATATTATTTAAATTATAGGTATATTTTAAATTGCGTTCCAGCTAATTTTCTGTAAGACATTTCAAATATTTTATTTGCTACTCCTGTCCTTTTTTAACCCTTTTGTCGTCTCGAGAAAAGGGTCTCGCTTTAACAAATAAAGACTAAAGAGGCTAACAATCCCTCGATGTAGCCTGTAAATGACCTTTGGGGATGTCTTTTTTAAAACATTTAGAATCCCGGTATAAAATTTAACGCTTCTAGCGGCTTAATCAGGGTGCTGTCTCTTCCGATCTCAATTAGTTTTATAATTTCATTAAAAGTGGATTATAGTTATGATTTTACTAAATTTATTTAACAAACCTTACTGTTTTAAGCGTAAAAGCTAAAAGTTTTCATAGTGTTTCTTTTAATAATTAATAACTAATTGAGTAAAAATAGTTATTTTGGAACGAATCATTGCAATAAGAACTGTAAAAGAAAAACGTTTTCTTCTTACCGTTTGGCATTCTAAGTACGGCCAAAATGGAAAAGTCCTCAGGGAACGTGTTGTAAAACATCCCCGCGGTGAGATGATGTAAGGACGCATTTTCGTTTAGACTGAAGGCGGTGTATTCAGATTTGGGCGTCGAGTAAGATTGGCATCGTCCTTCAGTTCTTGTGAATCCTTCGGGTAGATCACCGCGGCGCACCTCCGACAGTAGGTCAAAGAACGCTACTCCATCGACTACATCTAAATTAATGAAAACAAAATAAACGGTAATAAAGTTTGACATACATGCAATGTAAATAAGAAATAATTTTATACTAGAGGTCCCACAGTAGTCGAAATTCGACTATAATTAATTGGAATTGTAAGTTTGTGATTATAGTATGTGTATACTATAATCACAAATTTCGCCAAGGCTACACTATAAAAAAATATTAATAAAGACAAACAATATTTAATCTATTCTCAATTTCACCACAGACGTCAAGAACAAACGTTTGACAATAAATAGTATGCATGCATGTGTTCGTCAAATATATGGTATGTAGTGTGTGTAATGTTTTCTTTATTGATATAATGTATCTTTTATGAATTATTTAAAAAAATATTAGCATTGTGCACTTCTTCTCTATATTCTCTATAAGTATGGAAAATTTCATACTCCTCAGCCCGCGCAATTTTCGTAAAAAGGGATACAAAGTTTTTGCTTCACGTATTAATATATAGATTTTTTATCTATACGAAGGCAGGCGTGTAATGGTGCTGTGCACTTAGAATCTATTATTAAATTTACCAAGCATAAAAAAAAATTGGTAAATTTAAATCAATTTCTCTAAGTAATTAATTGCTTTTAGAAGCTGTTTTTTCGTTAGACGAAAACAAAGAGAAAGGCTTCGAAATTTGTTTTCGAAATGAATGCGTAGGCATGCGTCGCAAAATCGAAAACGAAGGTATTAAGCAAAATAAACCGATATTTACTTACCGTCCCCGCTTCCTCCACTAAGCACGCAAAACAATATGAATAGAAACTGAGCGCTTGTCTGTGGAGCCATCGCGGCCCGAATAAATATGTTGCAGGAATAATATTATTTAGATTCGGTCCCATCCCGGTCGGTGTTAGGTTAGAGGCTGTGGTGCTGGGGCAGCCTCCAGCAGGCCTCAACGGACCGGTGGGACATGTTGTCAGGCCGACGGACCCCAACTCTATGCTGATTCCTAGGCTCTCTGCCTCATAACGTCACTTCGCATTTAACTATTTTATTGCATTAATTAAGATCAATGAACAATCAGAGTTGCGTACACCTATACTACGCATTTAGCTAATAATTTGTTTTTGAGTCTCTTAGATTTAGTAATACGAATAAAAACGAGATTTCGTGCATTGTTTTATCAAAATAATTACGCATTTGGCATTGCGTCCATGAGCGACGGTAACCACACACTATTAGAGAGGGAGAGAGAGAGAGAGGGAGAGAGAGAGAGAGGGAGAGAGAGAGAGAGAGAGAGGGAGAGAGAGAGAGGGAAAGAGAGAGAATACACTTTATTATAGAATACACACACCAAAACACAATTTTCATTCAAAAAACAGTCACAAAGCAGATTCTATACATTTGTACAATAGGCTTAGGTGGGCCTACAAGGGTAATAAAAAAAAATGGTAATTTAGAATTTCTTTAACTTTATTTTAGTTCACAAATCTGTTTGCGCATAGTACTTAAACTATCGATCTATCGAATGTGTGAATTTGCTGTTAGGATTGAAAGGGTTAGGTACCCTTTTCTACGAACACATACGTATTTGTTCTAGAATTAATCTTATTTGTTTTATTAGTTCAAATGAAACGTATGGAAAATGTTTACGATTTCTGAACTTCATAATATTCAGATCGACGTTACGGATGTTTGTGGTACAAAGCCGTTGGGAGATGTCCTCATTAGAATTGAGACGAAATAACATTCAGTTCCTACGCATAGAAACATTCAAGCTGTATGATGAAAGCACTGAGTTATTTACTGACGTGTTTATTAAGACTGCAAACGTTAGGTATAATAGTACAACGGAGTTGAGTTGTGAGCGAAATATTCTCGAGACAATGAAATTGGTTAGGCTTGTTCAGGAGTTATGATGAGTAATATTATATTAAGTTTTACGTTTTTTTTTTATGTAGTGATAACAGTTGAGTTGTTATTTGCTTAAAGCTCGTTTATAGAATACGCAATTTAAAATAATGTCATCATTTTATTATTTATTGCTTAGATGGGTGGACGAGCTCACAGCCCATCTGGTGTCGAGTAGTTACTGGAGCCCATAGACATTTACAACGTAAGCGCGCCACCCACCTTGAGATGTAAGTTCTAAGGTCTCAGCACAGCTACAGCGGCTGCCCCACCCTTCAAGCCGAAACGCATTACTGCTTCACGGCAGATATAGGCAGGGTGGTGGTACCTACCCGCGCGGGCTCACAAGAGGTCCTACCACCAGTAATTACGCAAATTAAAAATTTTGCAGGTTTGATTTTTATTACACGATGTTATTCCTTCACCGTGGAAGTCAATCGTGAACACTTGTCAAGTACGTATTTCATTAGAAAAATTGGTAACCCCGCCTGCGGGATTCGAACACCGTTGCATCATTAGATACGATGTATCACTGCTTCACGGCAGCTCACAGCTTAGCATGTTATTTATAAACAGTACAACTATTCAACCCTTTTCTGCAGCATAAAAGTCTTTTCGTTACCCGTAGCCTTACACCTGAGTAAAAATACCATAGGATGTTTTATAAAAGTAGCTAAAGAAAACAAACAGATGCTTGTTACATTTATACTTGACTTCCTTAACACTCGGCGTTTCTAAATACATTGTGTTCTTAACGCGACATCGCAATTTCATTTTGAAAATCTAATACTAAGTAATTCAGAAGTCGTAACTCGTACCTTCTTTTTTATTGTAATATTACATTAGAGAAGAGCACGAGGAAGTACGAAGAACCTTATGGGTCCATCAGATCCAATAACCCTTGTATTAGATACCTTTAGCTCTAACACTAGAAGTAAAGACCCCGGTAACCGTACTCGTCGAACTCGGCAAAGAGTTGGACGTGCAACCTAACTTAAACATCAGCCCGCTGAGTTTCTCGCCGGATCTTCTCAGCGGGTCGCGATTCCGATACGGTAGTAGATTCATTAGCGAGGTCTCCTTTGGAGGCGCTCGGATAGCTGTTAGCAAATCCTACCCCTCCTGGCTGAGCCCTTGCTCGCCTACCTGCCCTAGTAAAACTGGAAAGGGGCCACCAGTAATCTCTCAAACATAAAAAAATAACTTTGACTTTTTTAAAGTGATTAATAATAGTGTACAGCTAAATATGTAGGGAAATTTTAAAATTATCATATCAATAAACGTCATAGTTTTAATTTCTTGGAAATATAAGTGTTTTGATTGTCGCACTTGCGGTAACTGCTCTTAGTAAAAGTAGCTGAAGATTTTTTTTTAATCAGTAAGCTTTATGTATATATCGTCATCATTATCAAAGGCTATCATCAAAATTAACCTCGCGTCCCCAGAAATTGTTGTCGTAAAATTTCAATAAGAAGTTGCGAATTTTTATGTTTTTTATTAGTTAGATAGATTCTAACTAATCTAATTAATTCAAAAAAATGCCTTATTCCTATTTGGTCTTAAAAATACAAGTGATCCAAAAAATATACAAGCTTTGCGAAAAGAAAACTTGTATTTGTTAAAAGATTCAAATATATCTTTGCATTTCAAATTATCGTAGGGCACAGACGATTGTGAGAAGGTGAACATCTTCATATTCCCCAACACAAACTCTGAATTGGGTCGAAGTAAATATGTATTATAGGCTTTTATCGCTCGTGGGAAAGATCACAGAACGCGCCCGCATTCAAAAAACTTGTTCATAAAACTTTTCTATTGAACGCAAAAGAGTTTTTGTTGACTGTGGCGATTTACTGCTCAAAGTCACAGTTTGATTTTAGTTTTATCTACTGGCGTATGCTGGATACATTGCGAAGTGAGTACGATAGAATTATATTCAAAGTTATTGGACTAAGTTTAAATTGCCTTTAGGCAGTTTGGGTTCTTGGCTACTTTCTTTTTTATTTAACATTTAATGCTTTTATTTTGTTTTTAAAGCAATGACTATAACGACTTGTATTAAAATCAAAACGAGTTATTGTTGCAGATACTGAAACAGATAGTTCATATGGGAATTTATTAAATACCTATTTCATCTTCTCCTTTATCTTCGTATTAAAATATAAAAAAATATTTACGGGATTTTTAAACTAAAAAACTTAAATTATTTGTTGCTGTTGTAATATCAGTTATGGTACTCCGAATACAAAGTAAAGCAGCGCTAGGAAATTTTCAAATAAATACACAAAAAATGGTAATTGTTGCAAACAAATTAATAATATATTACAAATCCAAATAAATCTTTTACCGGATTCGATTGCCTGTAAATAAAAACCAATACCTCTATCTACCTATCTATAATATATCCAAATACCTTAATCCTGGGGTCGGTTTGTTGTCTGCAGCATCTTTGTAAGCTACTAAATGCAGGAAATAAAAATGGTAAATTAATATAATTGATTTTTATTGTTCGTATAACCAGCCCGACAGAGGAGACAGTTTGTATAATAGTAGGCAGTGTGTTAGCTCTGCCCCTGGCTTTGCTGGCGTCCAAGGGCGACGGTAACCACTCACCAGCAGGTGGACCGTATGTTCTTCTGCCTACAAAGGTAATAAAAAAAACATGAGCTTGAAGTGAAAGCTGTATAGTAATTAAGGTAAACGATTTTTTTTTTTGTTACTTGGAAGGGTGGACGAGCTCACATCCCACCTGGTGTTAACGGGTTACTGGAGCCATAGACATCCACAACGCAAATGCGCCACCCACCTTGAGATATATAAGTTCTGAGGTCTCAAGTATAATTACAACTGCTGCCCCACCCTTCAAACCGAAACGCATTACTACTTCACGGCAGAAATAGGCAGGCAGGATTTTTAAGCATATCTATCATGACCCATATCAATACGCTAAAAGCGGCACAGACATTGCCTTTCTAAGATTTTTAGACGTTTTCATTTAATTAAGTCGATGGTATTATTCTGAAGTAATCCACAGTAGGTACCGTGCCGAAGCTAACTCAATTGAAACCCTCCCATTGAACAGATAAGTGCTTAATTTGGCGCACAAGTTCTTTGAATGGATGAACTTAGAACATTAATCGGTGTCCTCGCTTCCTAAATGAAATGTTTCCCGTTCAATAGCCTATTTACCGAAGTAATTTTATCTTAAGCGTAAACCTTATATCTGGGTCGACTCTCGTATTTGTTTTGATGCCAAACTTTTTGACATATCGACGCTTGAAAGGCAAACGTGACTAAGCGACAATGCGTGACCTTTACAGTAGAATAATAATAATTTAAAGTCGAAATACCTGAAAAAAAATCTATTTTAACCAATCTAGCTATAGGATTTAAATGATTTTAATAGACCTAGAAATAATTTTTTTTTACGCATTGAATATGGTTATTGCCTATCATTTATGTACAAAGCAGGTATTGTCGCTTAGTCACGTTTGCCTTTCAAGCGTCGATATGTTGTATTATTAGCGTTAGCGCTGCCAACCGTGAGTTCTCGTGAGCACACTTCACGTTACATGCTATACTCAGAAAAAGGTCGAACTTTCCATGATTTACTATTTTATTTCACGTGGATAGATTGGGATCTCTGGAGAGAGTTTGGTGCTATCCTATACCGTATGTTCCATGGGGGTGCTCTGAGAAATTGTTTGAGATGTTCTCGTCACCTTCTGTTTAGCGTCTTACTAATGGACAGGAGTAGAATTAATTCCTATTAAGTTTCAATCCTTACCTTTGCGACGTGACTAATAAATTTCTGAGATTTTTAGTGGTATGGTCTGCTTCAAACGACTTTGAAAAAACTCTTCAACGGTAGGGACTGGTTGTGTCTCAGGCATTACTGATGTCCATGGGTCAAGTTCTCCATTAAGGGGTTCGTAAGCTGTCTACTTATTTAGTAGAAGAAAGTAGTACCAGAGATGGCGTCTATATCATAGAATTATCTGTTAGCATTACCATAGTTCGGTAGTACGATTAAGTTAGCTTTTTCGATAGCTTAACATAATAACAAGCTCTGGGCCGTGAGTATTCGTGAACACACTCCACGTTGGTTACGTAACAATCATATGAATTTTGGAAAATCCGACGAAAATAACTACGATATGTTTGCTCGCTCAGTATTTCTTGACTCCACGACTATTGAATTGGTATCGCTGGTCCTGAATTGAAATAATTAATTAATAAAAAACTTTTTTGCTATTGTGTTCATTTGTGTTTTAATAATAACACATCAGCAACCAATATGTAAGCATGATTTACAAATTAATTTTCAACTTTTCCTTAGTGGCTTTTGGGTGAGTCGCCTGAAATAATTCTTCTTTCAATAAATTCTCGTAAACTTTGGACACTATTGGATACGTCTTTAAATCCAATTTATGTCTGAAAAATACAATAAATTATGAACGTTATTTATTATTTTAAACAAAATGTTCTCGATTGCATGCAGCATAGATGTGAATGGATGTGTGGAGTAACGAGAATGGATAGAATACGGAATGAATATGTTAGAGGAAGTCTGAAAGTGGCACCTGTTACAGAGAATCTGAGAAGTACGCGTTTGGGATGGTATGGACATGTGATGAGACGAAATGAAAATGAGGTTGGTAAGAGAATGTTAACTATGAATGTGGAAGGATATAGAGGAAGAGGTAGACCTAAGAAGACATGAATGGATTGCGTGAAAGACGATATGGGTAAGAGGGGAGTGAGCGAAGAAATGGTATATGATAGAAGAGTATGGAAGGAGAAAACATGTTGCGCCGACCCCAGGTGACTGGGAGAAGGGCAGGATAATGATGATGATGATGTTCTCCTCGGGGTTGGCCATATAGATTTTTTTATAGCTTAGAAGGGCGGACGGGCTTACGGCCCATCTGGTGTTAGGTAGTTACCGGAGCCTATAGACATGAACAATATCGCCACCCTCCTGTACATACGGGTTCCAAGTCTCAGTTTTAATATACCACGACTGCCTCTCTCTTTAAATCAAAATGTATTATTGCTTCACGGCAGAAATAGGCGGGGTGGTGGTATCTACTCGGGTGGGCTCACAATACGCCATAAAACCTTTATGACAGTGACATTTAGGTTTCACATATAGATGTAGAGATTCCATTACCTGCTTACTCCATTATAAATTTGTGGCACGAGACATATATCAGCCAACGTAATTTGATCTCCGATGCAGTAAGCTCCTGATGTTTTCGCTAACAAATCATTGAGCGTTTGCAGTCCTCTTTCAGTCCAGTATTTTGTGAAGCTAAGGAATTTCTCCTCCGTTCCCAAATGTTTCTTCAGACCGAAATTTTGTAATGGTTGTATACCGGATACAATAGTCTGTTTCGTAAAATATGTCCTTAATATTTAGATTAGACAGATGCAAGGAATAACTTTGCAAATCATATTTAACAAAAGCAGAGTTACAATGTTAATCCTAGTACCTGTCGATTTGTTAGTAATAAGAAAATCATTTATTGTTGATAAGATTTTCAATAACTTCAGTTGAATTTGTAATCTTTAATAAAAACTATACTATTGCTTAATTTTATTCTAGTATATTTATTTTTATGACTTTTTTAAAGAATTGAAATAATACATTTATTCTATCAGTTTATAAAATTAAATTCTCTTTTCGTCTAGAAAAGGATAAAGTATTTCGATTCTATCGTACCACTTCGATTCTAAAGGTGTGATATGCGATCAAACAAAATATAAAACATTAAGAATAGAATGAAACTGTCCAGGTAGACTCACGTCGGTGATGTTCCGAAGTAAAACAAACACATTTATACAATACTATACTGTACCCATTAAGAGGAAATTAAGATTACAAAAAGAGTCTGCAAAAACTACAAAGAAAAAGAAGCCCATCACATTAATGAGTTTAGAAATTACGGGGTTCTTTTTTATATCCTACCTAAACTCGTAGCCTTAAGAGGGCTATGCCAGCGTAACCGAAGGCGTGGGGTTCTATTAATAGTTTTGTGTTACTAGACTCAGATTTATTACTATAGTACAAACTACAAGCGTATTCGTATATTATTTAAGGGTGAGACCAACTCTCGATTCGTCTGCAAGTTCTAGTATAGTGAATGTTTTTTTTATGATTGAAGGATTACTTGTGGTCAGCAGGCCTTTCCAGTTTCACCAGGACATGTAAGCGAGTATGGGCTCAGCCAGGAGGGTTGGGATTTGCTAACAGCTATCCAAGCGCATCTAAAGGACAACTAACAACTTAAGAGACGTGTTGTTTTTTTTTGCACATCACCCATCGTACCTAAAACTCTTATTTTAAATTTGGACCAAATTCTAACCTCGCATATTTCTCTCATACGGGCGCGTTGTAGTGCTGTGTCTGGCATGAGTTTCGGTTCAGGTCTCGTATCTTCTATGTACTGCATTATCGCCATAGATTCGACTAAGGTGACTCCATCTACACAGAGGAAACTTACTATACCTATACCTTTTATTTATTTATTGCGGAGTTGAACTAAGCACGGAGCCGAAATACATCAAGCGTTAATTTCGCTATCGACCTGGAAACATGAGATTGAAGTCTCTCTGGCACTCCTACACTTTAAGCCGAAGCGAATGACTGCTTCGCATGCGAGTTTACAGAGCGCCCTACTACCGGCAATTATTAATGATATTCCATACGAATAATTCGGTCGCTTTACCCATCAGGACGCGGACGCTTCAAAGTTCTAGCAATTTTAAATGAGCGAGTGTAGCCATTGAAGCAATAAACGTTAAATATAGAGGGAGAGCGATGACTCGATACGCAAATTGAACCAATGGAGCATAACAGAACAATGAACTGCAATCATAATTTAGCACGATATTATTAGTTAGACTTTACACAGTATATTAACAAACAAACAAACAAAAAAAGGGTGCGTGTACTTATGTATGCGCGTAAGAAGTTATACTTTATTTCTATTAAATTTATTTCTTTTGTTTTTTTTTCTTTTTTTTTTTTTTTTTTTTTTTGCCNACCCCATTTGGAGACTCGCCCCAGAGAGTTCTCCACTTCAGACACAAGTTTTGATCGTCTCTCTTGCACCACGCTCCGAGAGAGACTCTGATGGCCGATATATCGCGCATCCCCCGTGCTGTCATCCGCATAGCAATGCATGCCATCAATAGACAGCATGTCATTGATATACAGGATGAAAAGCGTGGGGGAGAGCACCGAACCTTGTTTATTTAAATTTTAATCAATTTGAAAACAAATCGATTAAACAACATCCTCAAACACGCATATTGGACATCCCTTTTCTTGACATCGTTTAAATTCGGTAATTCTCGGTACGGTTCGGAAAGTTCACCTGCGGCTATATTCAGACTCGCCAAGTTACGTCGGTCGTATTGTAATGAGCGATTTAGTGGGCAACTTTATTCTGTTAATTTTGTGTCACGGTACTCTCATAAATTTTTCATAACGTGCCTAAAGAAGTATAACTTCAAAAATAAATGATGACAGGAGTTGTCCTTTTTTAATAATTAAGAAACAAATGTTTTTTTACTTCTGACGTGTAGAATTGAGTTTTATCGGCTTTTCTTTAAATACCAAAATTAGTAAGAACATGGTTATTGTTAAATTCATTGGCTAAAGAATCGCGAACCGAGTCAAATCAGCGGGTGTGGATTTCCGGCATAGGAGCGAATATTTTTTGTAGTCGTCTTTTGAAGAATGTTACATACATAATTGAATTATAATTATAATATATCCATATAAATTTCGTGTGTCTATATTAAAGTTGTGTTAATTTTGTTATGCGATTTTCGACAGATTCTGATGCTCTTATTCGAGAGGTTTGAGATCGGCATGTTTTAATTGTACTCAATTTTGCTAAAATTATATTTACGGAACTTGAACTGTATGTGTGTTCAAGTGTATTCACGCTTGGCTGCCAATAATGTTGAATGTGAATGTTGATTTTGAAAGAAATGTGAGCGACCATGTGTGCGAAATCTTGAAATTTAGTTGCATAGGTTTTTCAATTATTATATTGTCAATTTACTGTCCGAGGAATACACTACGGCTTTCTGTGCATGAATACTACGATGCGAACTTAAAATACCGGCCCGAGTTATCAGCGGTTTCTCCGCTCAGCCTCACATAACAAAAGCAAAGCAAAGTTGAATCGCTCAAGTATTTCGATTAAATATTACAAAATTATTCATATTCAAAATTAAATTCCATGTTCGCTTTCAATCACTGTCTAAGTTTATTGATGTGGAATCAACTGAGATTCGAACCGCGAACACGAAATTGTCTAAATATTTAAATGAATAATGTTTCTCGCCAGTTTCACTTAAAATTTCTCAACAATTCGTATTATATTATTGAATCAACAAACGGCTATGTCAATGTTTTCATCTAAATATTGACTGATGCCACACAACTCAGATACTTGTCTAGTCGCTGATCGAAATAAATTGAGAATTACGTTTATTGAGAGTCATGTACCTTAACAATTCATTGACCTAAATAGCTGGCAATCTATGAGCAGTTTTTCTATAGGCGTTATTAATGTGGCGACATATTTCTTAAATTCATCACAATCTTATTGGTCGGTCTATAGAATCAAACGGTTCACTTGTGTTTACTAATCAAGAGATTGTTTTATTTCAATCTAGGTACTAAAAAAATGTATGTGTGTGTGCATGTGCAAGTCACACACGGTAGAAGTGAAACTTATAAAGTATAAAAATAATCGCAAGGGTAAAAAACCACTCCGCAGTGCAATGAAACAGCTGTACCCCGGGGAACCGCCTGCATGATCACGGTATCCCGACGCCAGGTAGGTATGATTTAGCAAGAGAAATACGAGAACGTCTACCAACTGTGTAACATCTCGTCACTGCGATTCAGGAATTGTTGAATTTACGCGCAGCGACATCTGTAGATAACAAACTAAATAGAAATAAAATAAACAGGGCGCGTAACCGAAAAACGTTACATACGTTTTTTCCTCCCTACGTCAATAAAGAAGTTTTATTTCAACAAATGTGTTATCTGATGTCAATGGACTCCTTAATGGACAACTTAACATATCTTCTTAAACCCGTGTCCACCCAATGCTGAGTGTAGGTCTCTTCGAATGCACCCCATTCTCTTCGGTTTCTTGCCTTTCTCATCCAGTCTCTGCCAACCACTTTGACCAGGTCATCGGCCCACCTCGTTAGCTGTCTGCCCACGTTACGACGTCCAGTACGAGGTCTCCACTCCAGTACTTATTTACAACAACAACACACAACAATACTTCTTACACTTACACTTACAACACGTACAACTTAACATCAGATGGGACCGAATGCTGCTGCTAGAAAATGATCGAAGCTTATCTTTTAGTCTGATTTAAGTTTTTGTCACATATTGTCATGTCTCTTCTATGTTATCAACAAAGTTTTCGTAGTCCTCCAGTTCTCATACCGACATAACTAATATTGGTTTTTTTTAAGAGAAGTTTAATTTTCACAATAAAATAATCCCAGAGCCTAGATAAATGACAACCATCTCCTTTGTTTGTTGTTGGAAAAGTAATATATGTGTGTTTAATACAAAAAAGTATAAAGATTTTGCGTTAGAAAATTAGGCGCATTTTCTTAAAATGTAAATGAAGTCGGTTTCGCGACAAAAATAAGCAGAATCTGTCAAGGTTTTGACAGAATTGTAATTGTTCAATTATGTATTCTTTTTTATTTATTTTTGCTGAGTGGTTACTGTCGCCCATAGACTTCAGCAATGCCAGGGGCAGAGCCAAGCCGCTGCGTATTTGCGTATCGCGTGATATTAGTTACAAAACTATCATCCTGGAATTTATAATCGAAACTTAATCAAGTTTGATAATCTGCCAGGCGCATTAGCAAGAACCTCATTCGGTAGTTAGAATCTCGTTACTTTCATATCTTAGCATTAAACGACCTCCGAGATGTGAGCTATATTGTTTAGTTCTAAGGAGTTTCCCGCTTACGAGTTTTGTTATCGTGACGGACAACGTTATTGCTTTAAACCGACTAATTGAGGTGCTATTTTACTGCAAAATAAAACTATTTTATTAGATGCAGTAGTATTTCCGTATTACCATTTGATGGTTATAAGTCCGCGAATAAAGTTTAGTATTTTGTGCAGACGATTTATATTTTTACTGCCAGTATTTTTTAAATGTATTCCAGAATTTATTTAGTTCTTGGCTGGAAATTGTGCTAAAATAGAACATGGACTCGATTGACCTGCCCAGTTTAGACAAGTCAACGTTCTCACTAGAACAACAAACAAAAACATATTATAGTGGATTAATTAAAAAAAATCTCCTAGCGGTCATATGAAGAATAAAGCAGAAAGTTATTTATAAATTTATAGATAACAAGATACATCCAGCGAATAATAATGTATTCTGATGGTAATGATATGGTGATTAGCAGAGGCTAGAGTGCACTCGATACGGCTAAGGGCCCTTGTGACCCAATGACGAACGAGGCCTCGTCAAACGTGTCGTGCTGACAAGAGAGAATAATCATTTAATAAATAGTGTACTAGTACCTACAGAGATATATGCTCTTTAAATGATTTTTTATGTTAATAATAGCATTTCGGTTCTATTACCTTATAGTATCTGAATGATAAGACGAACTGAGAGGCCAAAGATCGACGCTTTTGAAATGTGGTGTTGGAGGCGGGTGTTGCTAATTCCATGTACATTTTTTTTTTTTTATGATTGAAGGATTATTGGTGGCCCGGAGGCCTTTCCAATTTCACCAGGACAGGTGGGCGAGCAAAGGCTCAGCCAGGAGGGGTGGGATTTGCTAACAGCTACCCGAGCGCCTCCGAAGGAGACCTAACAGCTCAAGAGCAGCTGCTTCGCGAATGAATCTACTACCGGATCGGAATCGCGACTCGCTGAGAAGATCCGGCGAGAAACTCAGCGAGCTGATTCATGGGTTAGGTTGCACGGCGAACTCTTTGTCGAGTTCGACGAGTACGGTTACCGGGGTCCCTAAGCCTACTCCTAGTGTTAGAGCTGAAGGCGTCTAATGCAAAGGTTATTGGATCTGATGGATCCGTAAGGACGTGTCTAGGGCATCGACGGTGACTGACTCCTGCATGATCAGGATTCGGGGAGTAGTCAGCGGCGGCTACGATAAGGCGATTATCATGACGCATAGCCTTATCGAAGTACCGTTCCGACGCTGACTTCATGTATTTCTGGATAGATTCGAGTCCATAACTTATCCATTCCGCACGCCGGATAACTTATCCATTCTGAAGGAGCTCGGTATTATCACAAGACTGTCTACTATCTGCTTCTAACGCATTCTCGCGTATTTCGGTCAAATTGTTCGTAGAGACCCCGGTAACTTAAAGAAGCTGATGGTAGTTAGTTAGGTTGATGGGAGAAGATCACGCGGACACGCTCACCTACCCACTAGTCTGGTCTGATCTGATATAGACGCTAACCGGCCTGCCAATAATCGAGGCTATGAAGACGCGGGGAAGATTGAGTGATCAATATTACAAACTAGACACCTCCTTTAGCAATGAAGAGACCGACTCAGAAGAAGTGGTTATTAGAAATATTTGAGTCACCATTTATCAATTAAGTACTAAATATATCGAGCAGGCATAAACAGGATCAGAAATACCGTTTCATGCTCTGCGAACATTTTCCATATTCATTTGTTATCATTATTTCATTTTCTACATAATATGTATATACTAGCTGACCCGGCAAACGTTGTGTTGCCTTAAATAAGATATCTAGGGAAATTCTACTGTAGAAAAAAAAACCCCATTTAACCACATAATACTTCATTATCTAATATATAAAATTCTCGTGTCACAGTGTTCGTTCCCATACTCCTCCGAAACGGCTCGACCGATTTTCGTGAATCTTAGCGTGCATATCGGTCAGAATTGAGAATCGAACAACATCTAAACCCACCCCTAAATTTGATTTGTTATTTTTTAGACAAAAATTTTTGTTTTTATTTTTTTATGATACAGCCTTAAGAAGATACAGCATACAAAAATACATACAGCCCTAAATTTTCACCCCTCTACGATCAACCCTTATTTTTTATTTGCTAATTAAAAACTTTAATTTTTTTGGCAAGATTTTCATTTTTATTTTTATTTTGTCATGAATTAAAATAAAAAATCTGATGTTACTCTAAATTTTNCAAAAATTTTTGTTTTTATTTTTTTATGATACAGCCTTAAGAAGATACAGCATACAAAAATACATACAGCCCTAAATTTTCACCCCTCTACGATCAACCCTTATTTTTTATTTGCTAATTAAAAACTTTAATTTTTTTGGCAAGATTTTCATTTTTATTTTTATTTTGTCATGAATTAAAATAAAAAATCTGATGTTACTCTAAATTTTTCATCCCTCTATGATCAACCCCAATTTTTTATTTGTTAATTATAAACTTTAATTTTTTCGCAAGTTTTTTATATTATTTTGTCATGACTTAAAATAAAAAAATCATAATATTACTCTCAATTTTCACTCTTATACGATCAACCCCTATTTTTCCATCAGTTTTTTTTTTTTTCTGTGCACAGATCCGCAATAATGTTGCAAGATGGCAATCAAATATTATAATTGTAGTACGATAAATTCTTATTCAGAATTTATAATTTCAAGTTCCTTTAATTAAGATTTTTTTTAAATTGAATTTGATCTCCCGGCCTCACCGGCCGACTATTGATCAACAATCAATCGATCCGCTATCCCCGCCAGGTGTCACCACTCATCCAGCAAACATCACGTAGTAGGGATGAGGACGAAGCCGGTCTCCTGTCTTACTTACTCACTATACATCTTAGATTATACACTTAATATATTTGAGAGCTATACAATACTATACATTTTTCAGCCATATTTTTTTGGTTTTATTTGTGTATCAATAGTATGTTCAGTAGGTCTGAGAATCGGCTACTATCTATTTCATACCCCTAAGTGAAAAGGGTAGTCCACCCCAAACATTTATTTTTTATTTTAATTTTTTGGATATTTTTTATTTATTTATAATGAGGTATTATGTGGTTAAATGAGGTTTTTTTTTCTACAGTAGAATTTCCCTAGATATCTTATTTAAGGCAACACAACGTTTGCTGGGTCAGCTAGTGACAAAATAAAATAAAAAACTTGCGAAAAAATTTAAGTTTATAATTAACAAATAAAAAATAGGGGTTGATCATAGAGGGATGAAAAATTTAGAGTAACATCAGATTTTTTATTTTAATTCATGACAAAATAAAAATAAAAATGAAAATGAAAATCTAAAATGAAAATCTAAAAATTAAAGTTTATAATTAACAAATAAAAAATAGGGGTTGATCGTAGAGGGGTGAAAATTTCTGAGTAATATGATTTTTTTTATTCTACGTCATGACAAAATAAAAACAAAATTCTCGCAAAAAAATTTAAAGTTTTAATTAGCAAATAAAAAATAAGGGTTGATCGTAGAGAGATGAAAATTTAGGGTTGTATGTATTTTTGTATGTTGTATCATAAAAAAATAAAAACAAAAATTTTTGTTCAAAAAATAACAAATCAAATTTAGGGGTGGACCACCCTTAACATTTAGGGGGATGAAAAATAGATGTTGTTCGATTCTCAACCCTGACCGATATGCATGCTAAGATTGACGAAAATCGGTCGAGCCGTTTCGGAGGAGTATGGCAACGAAAACTGTGACACGAGAATTTTATATATTAGATTTAAACATATATAAGTTTCTTTATCAGTTTATGGCAACTATAACACAGGGAATCATAAATTGGGGCTGGATGATCGTGCGTGATTTGTTGTCAGTTATACTTTTCCTATTTTATAATTTCCGTCGACCTTGAAACATGCATTCTACGTTTCAGTTCTATAGTACAATCGCTGCCCGGCCCCACTGGAACGCTTTACATCGACATTGAGATAGGGTGCTGCTCGCCGCCTATCTATGTTAATGACTAATGGGCTAACAAAACGCCCATTAGTCATTACGCGATATATAATTTTAGGGGATTTGATTTTTATTAAACGACGTTATTCTGGCATCGTGGAAGTCATTGGGAAGTATGTGTTAAGTACTGAATTATCCACTCTCATATTCACGAAGAACTTCTTAGAACTGATTGGTACCTGTCTGCAAGATTCTAACACCGATGCAGTCGTGTTTTAAATCATATAGACCGGTGATATGTATGCACTGGGTATCTAATCCTTTAAGCCATGATGACTTCAAGTTTTTTTTTATCTATTAAACTCATTTTAACTGACTTTCAACTGTAAGCTTTCGTCCCGAATACGAAAAAGCTGAGTGCGTGTGGTCTAACTGTGGTGGAACAAGTTTTTTTAATTATATTTACCTTTCTTTGACTTTGAATACTTTAAGCTTCTCTTGTAATCGGAATTGTCTGACATCGTTTGCTATAATTCCACATCATTAGACTAATTAAGGACGAGACAGACTAAATATTGATTGATGTAAATAGCTAAAATACGCATTCTTCTTTGTGATTCTAAATACTTCTTATAATATTCCTTTAATAAAACTATTATTTTAATGATCTTTTGAAATGTGAAATGAAATTTATAAATGTCATTTAAGATAAGTATGTCGGAGGAGCCACAATTATTAACACCATCGTCAGACATCGTAGGGCCAAAGAATAGGGTGATCGAGCTAAGAGAAATATTGAGTACACCAATCACGTTTGTTGTCTTAGAACAATTTATAAATCTTCTCTTGACTAGTATAAAAAGGCTAAACCTATAACGTTTTATGGGCGATATTTTAATATTCTAAAGTTGACAATGATTCGATTTAAGGGACGGTTCGCGCGGATACAAAAAAATATCCCTTCGTCTTCGTTAAGGAGCATCCAATTCTCATAATGTAGGGAGTGACAAAGTCACATTCAGCGAATGGCCGAATACTTTTCCCATTTCCTCTCTGATAAATCAAACGGATATTTGTGTATTAGCAGCCTTCATGTCAGATGTGGGTATAATGGTCGTGTATTTTCGAAGTTATACTATCGATGATTATGTGACAAAAAGACTTAAGCAGCATTACCTCTTGTGTGTGTTATTATTAGCGTGCTTTACTCGTGTCACGAAAAATTTATGAAATTAATTTTTTTTTTAAATGACAACACACTAACGTATCTTGGTACATCTACCACGTTTTTTGTTTTTTTTTTCTTAATATTGCAATAAGCTACTTGCGATACTGTTTTGGGCAGCATCGGTTTTAATCTTTATTTTTTATTATACTTGTAAATTTATGTACATACTTACTTTGTTATATTAAAATGAAATAAAGTTGAATTATGTGAAATTGCAATAAATTGGGATGAAATCGAATAAAATAAAATGAGTTGAAATGAAACTTTTTGGAAGAACTCTAAAATTCACGTCCAGCGACTTCCTTTCAACCGCCCACATTTGTCCACTTTCACAGACGTTGATCAGTTAATAAGCTACCATTATACACGTTTAAACCTGAAGAAACACTAAAATAACAATATAAAACAAATCACACAACTTTGCCCCTCTCATTTCGTTAAAGACATTTTAGGTAACGATTGACTAGAGTTATTACCTAATACACAATTTGGAAATAACAAAACAAAAGAGAAAAATTTGACATTTAAATGAACGTTAATCTAGAGGTGCCAATGATTTCAATTATTGGACGAACACTGTGTCATTGATATCATGTCATGTTTTAAAACACTCATAAAAATGCACCAAAACCTCAAACTTGATACCTTTTATAAGCATACTGACTCTAACCAAGATTAAAATTCAAATCAATCTAGTGTGGCACATGATTAAGCGTCACCTGATCAACAAGTCGATGAAGTCAACCTTTTTCTTACCTATCTCGAGAGCTGGTACTTTTTGCGCTGGATTGATGGCTCTGTACTCTTCAGTTAGCTGTTTACCAGTTTTTACAATATCCACCGGACGTTCTTCGAAAGGTATGCTTTTTGCATGTAGCATTGCTCGAACACGCCACGAACACGAAGACAGCCAATGGGCGTGCAAAATCACACGACTTTCAACCTTGCGTAAATAAAATAAATAGAAAAATTTAATGCATCCTTAAAATTGCCAATGAGTTGGGCGAATGAGTTAACAGTCCACCTGGTACCTGAATGTAGCTCATAGACAACAGAACCTTGAGATATAAGTTTGAAGTCCGAATCATAATATAGTTGTGCGGCGGACATCACAGCGGACAAAGTTAGTAATTTAATAATTTCGCACATTTTCAATGCTATTTACACATGTATAAACTCGCGTATTTATTTCATTAAATTGTATAAGCTGCTAAGGATTTGAATTATATATGTATATGTATGGTTATCGGAATGGCAGCCCGATGAGAAGATTCGTCGAGAATCTCAGAAGGCTAATAGTATGGGTGAAGTGTGAAGTCTAAGTCTAGTTCGACGAGCACGGTGACTTGGGCTGTGGTTGCTGTTAGCGTTACTGCTAGGAGCGTAGAACAATATCAATAGTGGATCAGAAATAGTGCTAGTACTAATAGTTGTTATCTTATGCTAAGCTACCTACATATTTTCAGCGTCAACCGAGATCAAACGGAAATATAATAAAAATTATTTTCTGAATTCCAAACAACTCTAAAATTCGAATATGTAAGTTCCGAATTATCAGTTCCTTTAAGAAACACCAATTTGAGAAACAATTTTGTATTTATTACATTAAAATTGATTCAACAGCTAGTCTCCTTTAGGTATTTTTTGAGTGATAGATGTGTTTGAGTGATAGAACTATTTACTAGGTAAATAGATTTAAATTGCCATAGATGCTACACTTCATATTACTGTAATCTTACTCTATTCGTGCACAGGCAAAGTACTACTGCCTTCATTTAATTTAATTACATTTCACTCCATATTATCATTTATCGTAAAAATAAGATTATAAATTATAATGACATGACTTAAAGGTCTTAAGTACCAAGTCTTAAATTCCCTTTAAAAAAAACCAAAGTACTAGTCGTCAAAATGATTGAATGTTTAACAACTTTATCATTGAACTGTTTATTTTATCCGAAAATTTTGAGGTTAGTAGATTAATGTAGGAAATAGGTGTCGCTGTCGTTTTAAACAAATAAAAATGAACAATAAAAATGTTAAGAACTTACCATTGTCGCTTACGAAAGATAAAGTAATCTAAGTATTTTTCAACAATTTTTTGCGCCGTTTGTGTTTACGATTGTTTTCTCACTAGAGAGGTATTTACTTTGTCAGAATATGATTCGATAAATCTTATCTGTCAAGGTCAAAGTAAGCTGTATTTAAATTCGTTATTCAATTGACATTTTTACATTTAATATTGGAGGTTATGAATAATAGCTAATAGCCATGAACCAAAGGCAAAACAAACACTGGAATCAAATCGTTTTATGATACTAACAGAGATGGCGCTAGCTTCCTTTTGATCAGAACTAGCAGACATTAATTTATTATTAGGTAGCGGGAATTTAAATAAAACATGATAGCTCATATACTTGGTATTTATTTACATGAAATATATAACGACTAGGTATATATTATTACGCCAGGAATTCATTAGTACTATACATTCCATTACAATGTTTCATATTAGGTATATTGAATTTTTATAGACACAATAGAAGCGGAAGTTACACGGGTTAACTTGTAAATCTAATAAAAGACGTAAAGCGTTACACATTATAAATGCACAAACGGAGATACATCATACATAATTTAATATTCCTCTACAAAGTTATAAATTCAAAAATACTTATATCAGACAAATGTCTGAGTTAATATTCTTTGGTCGTTTTATTGTTCTGATCAGCTATTTAGCTTATATTATACATGTTTTTATTTCAAATAATCTATTTACTTAATTTAGGAACAATTAAAGTACTAAACATTGTCTTTATAATAAATAAATAAAACACAAAATATTTTACACATTAAGTTTTTGAGCCTAATTGTTGTATTCAGTGATTCAGTTTCATGAAATAACATCAAAAAATATTTTTTAGTTAGAACTTTAATATCAGTCAACAACTACTTTAAATACTTTCTAAGCGAACATAGACCGAGCAAAGCACGATCATATTTTATCAACCCCATCTAAGCGGAGATCCTGGCGGTCTCATCAATGTAGCCCTGGTTTCAGCAGTTAACACTCCTCCTCCGTCGCCGTCAGGAAGTCCATAGAACGCGTGCAGATGCCGCCTGTGGTGGAGCTCATGGCCTCTGTTATGGTTCAGACCTTGGAGACGACTCCACAGGGAGAATATCCTTTTTGCCACCACTTTATTTTCTTCCATGGAATTTTCTGAAAAATAATAATGACAGCAATTATTATTTTTTTATTAGTTTATTTTGCTTATTTCTAATTGTGAGATAAAGCTTCGAATTCAGTGATAGGGTAACATTTATTTCAACATAATTGATAAGTCAATCTCTTGGACTGCCAGCGATATTCACACTGCAGTTTGATTGGATTCACTAATCGTTTAATATTAGACATAAAGCCTCTTTACGTGAAAAAAATAAAAATGCCCACCTGTATTTTCGGTTTTATCTAATTTATCTTTTAATAAAGCGATTTCGGGGTTTAAATCAATGTTTAGTCGTGCGTTTACATCTTTACGTTCGTTCTTTCTCGGTTGAGTTTCTGATACGATTGCTGATTCAACATCGTCTTTATATTCAAAGCGAATGTCTTTTAACATAGGATCAGCAGAACGGACGTATTCGCCGTCAATGTTTTCATTTAAATCGGCCTTGTTGGCCATTGCTTCATATATTGGTTCTTCGTCTAAAGCTTGTTGCTCTCTGTCTTCGTCTTCAAGTTGTCCGTTGACGTCCAAGCTCCTTTTATCAACATTATAATGTTCGTATAAATATTTGTGCAGTCGATCAAGTTGTCTGGGATAGTTATGCCATTGCTCTTGCCTGAACCCCTCATCATTGTAGTTCTCTTTCTTATTGATAATATTCAAGTTCGTTATCCATTCATCGTTTTTAGGGTCTGGGAATTGTAATTCTGATTTTTTAAATTCCAGATTTATATCGTCTTGTACTTCGGACTGCGGGCTCAAATATAGGCTGCCGGGTAATTTTATATTATGAAATTGACTGCTATATATATTGTCGTTTTGTAGATCATTCAAGTCGAATGGTTCTGTTTCCAGTTGATTTTTGGACAGCAATGGAAGAATGTTGCTGGAAGATAACGCCGCTGTTGCGAGGACTAGTACTGGAATAATGGCTTGCAGCATCTGTAACAAAACAATACTACAGTATCTATTTCGGCTAGCTTATCGCAAACATTTTTACTGCGCTATATGGGTATTCGACATAACGAACCTAAAGTGTTGAGTTACTGAAGTCATCATAACATGATTAATGTTACCTAACTCGAGACGTGAGATCATAGTTTCATTCTTTTTAGAGAGCCTAGTCTTCAAACTGGAACGTGTGACCGCTTCGTGGCAGAAATAGACAGGATGCTATTTAGCCGTGTGTGTTCACATTGCGTCCAATCATCAGATAATAGATCTGAGTTTACCAAAGCCAACTGCGAACAGCCTAATTTCAGTTTTGATCGATAAATAATTGAAACTAGGTCAGGTGAAAACAATTACGATTGATCGTCATTCAGCTTAATCGGGCAATCATGCCAAGTAACCGGTCTATTGTGTTCAGTGAAAGTGATTCAATCCGTAAACCAGGAAGTAGTAAGACACGTACGACCATTTAAAGAAAGGTTTTTCCTATTTATCTAACACGTGGCAGAAGCTAGGAATTCCTGAAAGGCAATAAAGGTTATTAATGGGATCCGTTCGGTATACGTAATTAAAGACGAATGATGCCCCAGAATACAAGCAGGAAAACGTTACTAGCGAACTGTGGCATATCTCTTGACGTAGAAAATGGGTTAATGAATAATTTATTTTGGTTAGGGTTCTTCTGACATTTGAAGGTATTTTCTGTCAGTACTTTCTTTTTCGTGTACCTAAACAAAGAAAAAAAAACCAACAGATAACAACAGATAACGCCTTCATTGAAATTTTGTAATAGATTTCAATATCTTTTAGTTAATCAAATATGTTAAACATGTAATCATCATCAATACTTCTATCTAATAAAACAGTAGAATCCACATTCTGTATACCTACATTTTGAAGGAAAGTAATAAAAATAATTTTTATAAATTAGCGATTTATAATATTATTTTTTGCCTGTCTTTATTTCTCTAACAAATATATATAGTATCAGTAGCAGTAAATTGTGTTGTAACAATATAAATAGAGTCGGTCAGAAGTCAAAGCTTTGTTTCATTAAAATCAGATAATGCAAAACAGTTATCGTCACTTAAAAAAAATTTATTGCCCTTGTAGGCAGACGAGCATACGGCCCGCCTGATGGTGAGTGGTTACCATGGACTTCAGCAATGCCAGGGGCAGAGCCAAGCCGCTGCCTACCGAGCCAAGCCGCTGGGGGGTTAGTCGTATCGAGGTAAGGCAGTTCGCGGCGCGCTCCTCTAAAGCGCCGATTATTTAGATACTCCTCAAAGGAGTAGGACCTACCTTGTATATCAAATGAATCTCAGCATCAGCACCACGCAGTTAAAGCCGCATAATGCATCAAAGCATCAGCTTACGGACTTAGGTATACTACGTGCTAGCTGTTGACTGTTGCATTACTTATAGCCCTTTTTCATAAAAGTGAATGACTTCATAAAAGTTAAAGGGCTAATTTATTAGTCGGTACACGATGAGTCCATTGGTACCGCCACGTACCTTTGCTAGGGCACGATAATTGTTCGAAAAGGTCGATTGTCGAACAATTGTGTTATCCAGTAATAAATGTGATGATTCAGAAATTCAAACTGTGTATAATTTTCAATTTTTAACCTATGTGCTGTGTAAGCAATGTAATGTGAAGATGCCTGTAATAATATAATAGCAAATGTGCAAACGTGTAATATGTATTCACTGATATGTTTACTGGTGGTAGAACCTCTTGTGAGTCCGCACGGGTAGGTACCACCACCCTGCCTATTTCTGCCGTGAAGCAGTAATGCGTTTCGGTTTGAAGGGTGGGGCAGCCGTTGTAACTATACTGAGACCTTAGAACTGATATCTTAAGGTGGGTGGCGCATTTACGTAATGGGCTCCAGTAACCACTTAACACCAGGTGGGCTGTGAGCTCGTCCACCCATCTAAGCAATAAAAAAAAAAGTATTTGTTTTTATGGAATTGTTTGTCGCTTTTCTTTTACAATTAAGTTGATGTAGGTGTTTGATTTTTGAGGAGGCAGTCTCCTCCCGGTGGTGGTCACGGAGTGACTTGAGGGGGTTGAGGCTGTGCTGCACGCTACCGTCACTCTAGCGCTCTGGCACCAGGAGGACGGGAAGATGCGTCGGCGGCTTCGGCGTGCGATGCGGTCCGCATTGTCTTCGTCGCTGTCGTCGCCGAACATATTGTGGAAGAGCAACCCGGTCGGCGATGTATCGCGTTCGACCCGGAAGGCTGGTTCTATCCCGGAACATCAGTGGCATCGCCCAGGCGGCCTGGTAGAGCTGCCGTACCGCGGAGACCGACGTCGTTGGTCGTCGACTATCGCCTCAACGACCCGTCGGTCGGGCGTCCTCGGGGTGGAGCCGCGTCTCTGTTTGTAGTGTTAACCGCGGGAACCCCCCTACTCTGACCGGGTTCTGACCCCGGACGGAGATCGGACGTCGGGTGTAAGAGTGCAGGGGAGTCGTTTAGTGCGGTAGGGCCCTAAAATTCCTTGGGCCCGCGGTCTGTCCCAACACCTGCAAATCGTCAAGCTCCACATAAACCGCGCGCCCCCTGGGCGCGGTGATCTCGTAGCAGGTTCGCCCCCCGGCCCGAAAAAAAAAGGTGTTTGATTTGTAATTATAGGAACATCTCGTGTTAAGTAATTACCAGAGACTATTAGTATCGGTAAAGCAGGAAGATTCTCAGGCGTCTGCATACATTCCTTGAGCCTCGTTTTAAGGGGGACATATCAGAGATACATATTAGAACATAATATGATAGAACGGAGAAGAAATAAGCTAACTAGCGCAAAATACTTGCACCGATCTGTACCATCGTAGACTTAAACGAGCTGGCACTCCGAGCAACGGGTCGGGAATAAAATTGAATGCATTGCATAAATGAAATAAAATCAGTGTGACCTATTGAAACATGAAAGTTTACTTTTACTTAGTTATTTTATTTAATTCAATGCAAAATGCACAATCAGACCGGTGTATGTGTCGGATGCGTACGGAATTTGGATGAATTCGAAATACATTTTGAAATAATTCTTTAAAAAACATGTACCTACAATCAAATAACTTTGAAAAAATTATTTGTTATTATTAAGCTTTTTTAATAATACGTCTCTTAACCTATGAACTTGCCGTTTTACAACACTGGCCATTTGAGACGTAATTTATGTGTGGCTGGCGATAAACTCTAAATTCAAATGAATTTCATTTGTAAAATATGGAATTCCATTTTCAAATTCAATTATTTGTTTATTGATTTGTGTTTTGTTTTTTCATCAATATGGATGCCACGATAAAAATATGAGTAATTATACAATACTAGTTTAGTCAGGTACTAGACGTGGAACAAGAGCTAGCTAGCGTTAGCCACCATACTTATGCGACCTTGCGCCGATAGACTTTTATTTTTTCAAAAGAGAGACAATTTTTTGGCTGTGAAAAAATCAATACCATACCAAAAATCAATACAATAGTACAAAATGCCTTTGAAGAGTTTATTGGCTCCTGTACCTGTAGGTACCTGTACCTGACTTCTTCAAGAAGGACATTGAAAATTTACCACTGAGTTGGCAGAGAAGCGTTGATACCATGGTTGCATACTTTGATTTGTAGAAAAAAAGAATATAATTGTATAAAAGAAACGATTTTCTTCTAAGTAGCTACCAGCTAAGCTTAAAATTCCTAATTTTCTAAAGCATTTGTTCGCAAATAATATTGCGTCAACGGATGAAGAATAATTCAATGAAATACATATACTTTTACGGACTAGGCGACTCTCTAATATTTTATTTATTCAACTTGAAACCAAGTCAATAAGCCAGTGAGTTGGTAAGTTAATGTTTTTACATTTAGTTTTTATTTATTGCTTAGATGAGTTGACGAGCTCACGATCCACCTGGTGTTGAGTGGTTACCGGAGCCCATAGACATCTACAACGTAAATGCTGCCACCAACCTAGAGATATGAGTTTTAAGTTTTCAGTTTTTACAGTACAACGGTTGCCCCACCCTTCAAACCGAAACGCATTACTGTTTCACGGCAGAATAGGCAGGGTGGTGGTTTTTAACCGTGCGGCTCATAAGACGTCTACCACCAGTAAAACTAAAGTAAAGTTATATTAGATGTTGAACTCCACGTGAAAAATTAAGAATTATCATACAGGCCAGACGTGAAGGTTCCAACGTAAACGTTTCTTAGAAGCCACAACTTGTAGCTATTAAAGAAAACGCGTATGGAAGTGAGCCGTGTGGTCTTTTAGCCGAAGCGAACGCTTTGGTTTTCAAATTCAATAGACAGTTGTAGTTTTTATCAAGATTATAGATTATTTTATAATATTTAAAAAACTAGACCGTAAAAGTCGCTAATTTTTATCTCCTGTGCAAAATATCGCATATTATAAATTTTAGAATGTAAATCTCAAGTTGATAAATATACTGATTCCCTGATTTTGGCTTGGTCCGAATGGTAGGTATAGTACTCTAGGCTCATCGGTGGACCGCATGGCGTTCAACGTGTTAAAATCTCTTTAAAACTAGTGTTTTTGAATTGCATTTCTCCTCGACTCTAGTGCGAATCTTCAGACAAATTTGTCGACACAAGCGTTGCTAAGCAACCGATAACAACATCACACTTTGTATCATGAAATATTCTTGTGTATGCCCGTGTTCGGTAACCGGATTTACAAATATCCTTGAAAAGATTTATTTGGTTGAGTTTTGTATGCGTGAAATATGTGAAAATACGCGAATAGTGATTTCACCGACGGAATTTTGTTTCTTGTATACCTACCTACGTATCTATAACATTGGAAATTGGTGATTTGTTCGGAAGTTTTATACTTTCATTTTTCTATTATGACCAAAAAAAAAGGACTTGTTTTATTGCTTAGATGGTTGCACGAGCTCACAGCCCACCTTGTGTTAAGCGGTTACTGTAGCCCATAGACATCTACAACGTAAATGCGCCACCCACCTT